ACACTGACACCAACAATGGGACACTATTTCTACCACTGATGCCAACAATGGTGTCACTATTTCTGACATTGATGCCAACAATGTGGCACTCTTCCTCAAACTGACATCAACGATGGGGCACTATTTCTACCATTGATGTCAACAATGGGGCACTCTTCCATCAAACAATGACAAACTGACAATGATGGGGCACTATTTCTGCCCACTGACACCAACAATGGGACACTATTTCTACACTGACATTGATGCAACAATGGGTCACTATTCCTCCCACTAACACTAAAAGGTGGGGCAGTATTCCTCCCACTGACGCCAACAATGGGGCACTATTCCTCTCACTGACACCAAAATGGGGCACTATTCCTCCCACTGACACCAACAATGGGGCACTATTCCTCTCACTGACACCAAACAATGGGGCACTCCTCTCTCAAAATGGGGCACTGACACCAACAATGGGGCACTATTCCTCCCCTAATACCAAAGATGCATTGCTTACTCCCACTGACACCAGGACAATTTCTACTCCTAATGGCCACAGTCCAGCTCCCCTAAACTCTGAAGGACAGTAAACTGGCTCTTTGTTTAGAAGGTGGATGGTGGATACACAAAGTGTGAGCAAGCCTTTTGGGTTTTGATCTATATATGGAAGAAACCTATTCATTTAGTGAACTATATACATTTGCAATCTGTACTGCTCCCCTTTTTGGTGATACCTTTTGGAGGTAACATCTTCTGTCTACATCATAGGTGCTCAACCTGTGGCCCTCCAGCTGTTGCAGAACTACAAGTTACATCATGCCTCTGCCTTTGGGAGTCATGATTGTAACTGTCAGTGGCTGGCAATGCATCACTGGGACTTGTAGTTCTGCAACAGCTGGAGGGCCACAGGTTGAGCACCCTTGGTCTACATGGAAGAAATCCATATATACTCCTATGTTGGAAATCTGGCTTGACTGGTCCTGTAGAATCCCACCTAGTGGGGATCTATAGCGCCCCCTTGCATTCCCCTGGATAAATATTCCTTTGGGGCATTGCTTTTCATTGACACTTTATGACATTCAGCTGTATCTCACTGTGCTCTCTATGGATACATTATCGACCATCACTTTCCCCTGTTGAAGAGTTTTTTGAAAAACTGAAATGCATTGGGGTGTCATCTACTCGCATGTGATTATCATCTGTAGAAGTGAGGATGGTCTCTTTAGATATATACTTGTAGATGGTCAGCTGCTGATTTTCTATGATGGTTTTAATGAATTTGTATGATAAAAAAAAAATTTTTGATAGCATTTTATGTGTAGGTGCCTAAAAATTCCCGAATCTCAGCTAATTGTACATTATACTATATATGGGATGTGGCACATAGCAATTATTATAGGAAAGGTGGGCAGAGAGGGGAATGAAGGTGAGGAATATTGTTATTAGTACATACCATCACAGTTACAGCAAATCTCCAGGCAAACAGGTAAATGCAAACTTTAGAACAACGTATGTATACTGTTTAACCTGCTATTGGATGTGCGATTCCATACAGCCAGTCTTGTGATTTACACACATCTGCCACAACGCACAGCCCGGCAAGTGACTTCCTTATTTCCGAATTCAGCAATAGTTATCTATGTCACCTCTTCCCCTCCAGCCTGCACCATATCCTCTGCCCAATCAGCAGGGAGGTGATTCAGGAAGTAGTAAAGCTGAACTGGAAAGTAGTAGAGTTGTCTACCTGGCAGAGATAGGTGAAGAATGGCTAAATAAAATTTGGCAAATAAAATAGTTAACACACATGTATTTAAATTTAAATTTGGCTGTTTGGCGCAAGTTCAGCTTTAATGCACATACACTGGAGACTGGTAACTAAGGGGGTTATATGTGCATAACGTGGACACAGGTCACTAAGAGGTTAATGCACACACACACTGGAGACTGGTCATGGAGATGTTAAAGAGTTACTAAACCCACAACAGTACAATCTTTGGGAGAGTGCATGTGATCAGCACAGGGCCAATCAGCACTGTCCAGACAGAGGGTCGGGGGTTATGCAGCCCCATAGGACAATCAGGGGAGAATGAAAACTCCTCCTACAAGCTTTAACCAGTGCTCAGTTGTACACTGATAGAAGTCACAAGACTGCTATATACTGCTGATGAGAAAAGGTATTTAGCAGTTTATATTTACTAAAATAATTGCATTTCTATGTTCTGTGTACTGTGAGGGACCATATATAGTGAATGCAGGGTCCTGGGTTTAGTAACACTTTAATGCACACATACTGGAGACTGGTCAATGCGAGGTTAATGCATGCACATTGGAGACTGTTCACTAATGGGTAATGCACATATATAAGAGACTGGGCACCAAGAGTTTTTGCAAACATTGGATACAGATCACTGAGGGGTTATTGCACATACACTGGAGACTGGTCACTACCAAGTTAATGCACATACACTGGAAAGTGGTCACTGCTGGGCTAATGCACATATGCTAAAGACTGGGAACATACACAGGACAATGGTCATTAAGGGTTTAATGCACATACAATAGAGAATTTTTTCTGGAGGATTAATACACTTGCTATAGGGACTGATCACTAAAGTGTTAACACATGTTAGGGACTGGATACGGGTCATATCACTGGAGACTGGACATTGAAGAGTAAAGCACATATACTAGACACTGAGCACCAAGAGTTTTTGCACACATTGGAGACAGATCACTGAGGTGTTAATGCACCGACTATGGAGACTGGTTCACTGAGGTTAATGCACATAAGCTGGAGACAAGTCACGGAGGGGTTAATGCACACACACATATACTGGAGACTGGTCACTGATGGGTTAATGCACATACACTGGAGACTAGTCACTGAGGGGGTTAATACTCAAACATTGGAGACTGGCTACTGATGGGGTCAAGACACATACACTGGAGACTAGTCACTGAGGGGGTGAGGGGGTTAATGCACATATACTGGAGACTGGAAGCTGAGGGGGTTAATGCACATACACTGGAGACTGGTCACTGAAGGGATTATGCACATATACTGGAGACTGGTCACTGAGGGGGTTAATACACAAACATTGGAGAATGGCCACTGATGGGGTCAAGACACATACACTGGAGACTAGTTACTGAGGGGGTTAATGCACATATACTGTAGATTGGTCACTGACAGGGTTATGCACATATACTGGAGACTGGTCACTGAAGAGGTTATGTACATATACTGGAGACTGGTCACTGAGAGGGTAATGCACATATACTGGAGACTAGTCACTGAAGGGGTTATGCACATATACTGGAGACTGCTCACTGACAGGGTTATGCACATATACTGGAGACTGGTCACTGAGGGGGTTATGCACATATACTGGAGACTGGTCACTGAGGAGGTTAATGTACATATACTGGAGACCGCTCACTGACAGGGTTATGCACATACACTGGAGACTGGTCACTGAGGGGGTTAATGTACATATACCAGAGACTGGTCACTGAGGGTGTTAATGCACATATACTGGAGACTGGTCACTGAGGGTGTTAATGCACATATACTGGAGACTGGTCACTAAGGGTTACATGCACATACCATGCAAAAATTTTCTAGTGAGGTCTGAGACCACCTCACTGCTGACATGGATACTGGAAAGTTCGATTGGAGCACTCGGGCCAGGATACAAGGGACAGACCTGTGTGCCGGCACCTCACTGCTAGAGCATGCTCTGAATTCAGTACTAGAGGTAGAATACTCCAGGCAAACCGAAATATACAATCTTCTAGTATTGATTTGGACAGGGTTTTTTTTGTTTTTTTTTACTAAGCAGCTACCTAAAGCTAAATAATGCAGACTAATAGCAAAGTGTCGTAACCCACTGCAATTAATTCTAAAGGTTCCACTGTTGACCTGGATGCTGAATTTTGCTGCAAACAAAGTGAATGGACAGCAGAAATCCCATTGCTTTTCAGTAGGGATTGTTCCCACCAACGCACAGGAAAACAGTCTTGCATGCTGCAATTGGGTCTGTGGACCTGTAGTTCTACATTCAAATCCTAAAGGTGGTGGTTGTGCTTTTGGTAAACATCATGTAACAGAATGAGGACTGCTTATTCCTTATCCCTTTAGAGTATAGAGCGATCCCATCACCCTTTTATGAGCCACATCTCAGCAGGAGAAGACATCACGTGTTTCTGATAGCTGGCTGTACCAAGTGATTGAACTACACTACCCTATTCCTCCTTATTTAAGGAGAACAATTGTTCTAAAAACCCTTTCCAATAAGGAGTTAGAGACCCTGTCCTCCAAAAACATCCTAGCTAATGGCTCTGTGCATGCGTGCCAAATTCCCATTTATTCCAAGGGGAGAGCTGTACACTGCAGGACCACAGGAGGCCGCCATGATTAGGGCTCAGCCATAGAAATATATATGGCAATTGCGCACATGCCCACTAAGAGGTCCGGGTGTGGACGTTTTTTGGAGGAAAGGCTGCGCATCGCTGAGTCAGCCCGACAAGCAGGCTAGACTCAAGGGGATGGGGGATTCCTTAAAAAGCACTGTTGTCCTTTAGAAGCTTCTTTATCTAAGCCTGTTCAACTTTGGTTGCCAACAAAATTATCAGGTGTTGTCTCCGATAAACCATTTTTAACATTCCCACTTGATAAAAAGATAACGTCATTATCCACCTTAACCTAGTTTAACCAGTCTGCAATAAACCCCTACATATGAATAACATATTTAACCCATGATAGATTCCCTTTAAACAATACAGAAGGGAAGAGGAGATGGTTTCTCTGTTATCTAATCAAGCGTCTTGCCGCATTTGTTGGCCAACCTGGATAGAAGAGAAAAGTTATCAAAACAAAACATTTGGATTATTAACGCATGGGTTTATAGCTCAATCGTTCTGAACAGACTATGACAGAGGCATGCAGCACAGATCCCCTGAGATCTTCATCCACAATCAGTCATTAGCAATCACCAACAAATGTTTGAAAGCCATACCTGTGTCTGAATACGGTTCAGCCCACGGAACCATAGGATCTGACCCCTGCGGAGCTCTCTCTCTGCATGATCAATTTCTTCTTCATCTTCAGCCATCTCTTCATCTGTTATTTCATCTTTGCCTGGCCCGTGACCTGCTTCCTTCAAACACTTCAGCTGGCTGGTGGGGATGGTGGAAATGAGCTAGATAAGAAAAAGATTGTCAGGTATAGATGCCGAGGGCATCCTTGGGAATTTCTATAATGGAGCCATTAAACTGGTTCAAAGGGTTGCCAGTGCACTCTATGTGTGAGGTAAATGCCCTGGTTCTCACAAAAAAAAAATCCAACAAATCCAAAACAGGTATAGAGGTACTCATGAGTCTAGCAGCAGAGATAATTCAAAGCAACAGCATTTTATTGTCAAGGTTTCAATGGAGCTCAGTCCACTTTCTCAAGTCTTAAGAAAGTTGCACTGAGCTCCATCAAAACTTTGTCCATCTTTCTTAAGTCTTGAGTTCCATCAAAACTTTGGCAATAAACCACTGATGCTTTGATTTATCTCTGCTGCAAGACTTGTGAGTGCCTCTGTATCTGTTTTGAACACTGGAACCACTGATAGAATTAGTAAAATGGAATAAGTCAACTTTTGTTGGTTGCTCTGAACATTTCTCCTCTCCAAAGCCAAGAACCAAGTGTATGTAAATCCAAATCTTTTGTTTTTTTAATTTAGATTTTGGAAGTGTAAAACCCCAGTCAGATTTTCATTGCTGACTCACTGCTCTGTTTATTGGTCCTGGTTGACCATTGTTTTCAAGATTGAATGTGGTGAGAAATCCACAACTTTAGAGTTGTCAAAGGATCAGGAGGTGAGGGGAAATCTTCCAATAGTTCCAACATGTTCTGGAGACAACTGTCTAAAATGCCCTAGTACTCACCCACAAAAAAATCCATACACACTCAAAATAGGTATAAGGGGACTCATGAGACTTGCAACAAAGATAATTCAAAGCAAAAGCATTTTATTGCCAATGCTTTGATCGTGCTTAGTCCATCTTTCTCTGGTCTTGAGAAAGATGCACTGAGCTCCATCGAAACTTTGACAATAAAACACTGTTGCTTTGCATTATTTCTGCTGCAAGACCCGTGAGTGCCTCTATACCTGTTTTGAACATTGGGATCATTGATAGAATTGGTAAAAAGCCCACTCTTGTTGGTTGCTCTGAACATTTCTCCCCTTCAAAGCCAAGAACCAAGTGTATGTAAATCCCCAACTTTTTAAAAAAATTTAGAGTATGGAAGTGTAAAACCCCAGCCAGGTATTCATTGCTGTCCCTCTTGGAAGATTTACCCTCTCTATTGGTCCTGGTGACCATTGTTTTTAAGATTTAAAGTGGTGAGAAATCCACAATTTTAGAGTTGTCACGGTAACAACAGGTAATGGGAAATCTACCAATGGTTCCAACACATTTTGGAGACAATTGTCTAAAAGGGGATTTTCGCTTGCTTTGAAGAGATCTTCTCTTTCTTCCTGTTGTATCTATGCAACAGAACCTAGAGGCAACAAAAAAACTGACAGGGGGTCTTAACTATCCCCTGCCCTATCAACAAGAAAAATGGCTATATGTAAACTTGAGAGCTGCATTCACAACTGAGCGTTTTGTACTTCGAAGCTCGAAGAAACTCAACAAGCACAATCCCATTCATTTCAATGACCACTGTTCATATCTGACCATGAAGAGGGGCTATTGAAATGCATGGGATTATGCTTGATGAGCATCTTCGAGCTACAAAATGCTCAGGTGTGAATGCAGTCTAAGGGATAATAAAGTTATTCTGATAAGGAAAAAATATACGAAGAGAACTGCTGTGCTATTTAGGGCCAGGCCTTCCAGGAAGACCAGATCTTTAAAGGGTTCATTATGTGTATTCATAAGTAGATCCATGATTCCATCCTTGATGTCCAGGAACAAATTTCATCAGCAGTAAAGGCAGAGAAACATAGTATTTTGGCACATCTATTTAAATATTGGTTTTCCAATGACTGCCATTACATAAGATTTCTGTGGTATTTGGGGTCCCAAGGAAATCTAAACATACAGGCGAACTGTGTTATAAGATTTCCATTTAATGGAAGTTAGCCTATTACTATATACTATATATTAATGTGTGCTAGAATTGTTGGTGTAACAAGTCTCTATCCCTGTTTTGTAGGACTAAGGGCTCGTTCACACTTGGCTGTTTTGCCAACACTTGCCAAACGCCCCTATAGCGTTTGGCAAGCGTTGGTCTGGCGTTTGCGGAGCGTTTTTTAACGCTCGGCAAACGCTCCGCAAACGCCGCATGCGCGGTTTAGCGGCGGTTGCTAGGCGTTTGCCGAGCGTTAATAACACCCCACAAACGCCTATAATGCAGTTTGAGTGGTGTTACCGCTCCGCAAACGCCCTGCAACCGCGTCGCAACCGCACCGCAAACGCCGGCCGGTTTGCGGAGCGGCACCATAGACGAGAATAGGAGGCTTCAACGCCTCCTGACTCGTCCAGAGGCGTCCGTTTTGCCGCGACGCAACGCGACGCAAAAACGCTCCCGTTAGAACAGCACCATGTGCTGTAATGTGCAGAATAGGCAGAGGCGTTTGGGAAGCGGTAAAAACGCTTCTCAAAAGCCTCTCTGCCGCCTGCACACAAGGCTAGTGTGAACGTAGCCTTAGACTTTTACTCATCAAAATGTGGCATGCTAAAGAGTTCTTATGGCATGCTAAAATAACATCCAATAATACTGGCAAAGAGGACACTTTATCATTATTAGCATGTTTAAAGTGGGCCTGAATTAAAAAAAAAAATGAAGATCTGCTTTTTTATAGTGAACATCTAGAAATGTTAATTGTGCCTAAGCAGATCATGGAAAAAATCTATCTTTTGCTTTGAAATTCTCATGAAAAATAGCAGTGCACTTCCTATGGCTGAGCCTCATAGCTGTATATCTGTGTTGTGAGCTCATTTAAGGCACAGGTGCCTCTGACTTTTAGGCTCCTTTCACAGGAAGGTTCCAATCAGGTCCACCTGTCAGTTTTTCAAGCAGACCTGATAGGATCCTCCATTCACCCCTATGAACCGGCATATATAAACAGGCTTGTGTCACTTTACTCCCACCTACCTGCAATCTGACCCACAACTAAAAAGGAATTGGATCTGCCTCCTTTATCTAGGTGGATCATAGTGGAGAGGACACAGACTGAACCAACTGTGCTCTATGGGTGGCTGGGTATAAATGGACAACACCTGTCTGTTTACACCCTGCTCCCCATAGAGCAGAGCTGGCTCAGTCTGTGTTCGCTCTGCATAAACTGGTGGACACTGACCTGTCATCCCCCTGCTCTGCTCTGATCAGCAGTGGGTCAATGGACAGATCCCCTGCTGATCTAAACAGAGCCTGCCCCATGTTAAAGGGGCCTAAGTCACAGATTAAGGCTAAAATTTGGTGATGTCACTGTTGTTGCTCTTTGTTCTCCTTGCTGAAGAGGAAGCCGGCTCACTGTTTTCCTTGCTGGAGAAAAGACTGTTGCTGAGGAATGTGCAGTGCAAGGATCTCCCTGCTCCTGCTTCATTCATTCTGTAAATCTGTATCTGCTGAATCTTTCATGCCCTTTTTTAAATATTCCCTCAGTCATCAGTTACCATCCATTGAGGGAGCATTTCTCACATTTGAAAGGAAAGCTTTGCTCCTTGACCAAGATATCTGCCTCTACACAGAGACAGTGCAAAAAAGGCAGGGTAAAGCTAGGAGAGCTACACAAAATATATGAATTGATTCTTCCATCCATCTAAATAGTGATAGATGAAGTAATCTCCACTACTGGCTATTGCATTCAGTGGCCATCATTACTCTTGGGTGCTGAATACCCAATCCAATCAGATGCAGGCACTATTTGGCCAACAATTTTCCACCTTTTCCAATAGTTGATTGAAATATTGCTTTTTTTTTTAGCCAGGTGGTGCTGACAGGACCACCTACAACTCAATTTCCAGCTGACTGAGTTGGAATTGGATGAAATTAGAGAGGTGTATGGCAGGCTTATTCCAGTAATAGAGAAAAGATTAACTGTAGTAAAGGAAGTCTTGAAATACCCTTGTGGTCTCAGGAAACCCTCACTGAAAATGACTATCTGCAACTCATAATACATTCTTGTGAGTTCAGGGGAAGAATGCTCCTTACATTTGTTCTCATTGGTAGGAATTATCCCCTTACAGATAGCTGAAAAAGGTCAATGATGTCAGTGGGAACTTATATGAGAGGCAGCAATTGCTCATTGTTCAAAACCCTCCAGCAAGCCTCTGGAGGAACCCTGGTTGAGAGAAACCCTGCTCTAAACTTTTTAAGGTGCCTTAAATGCTGTTAAAACTTGATGTACATCACTGGTAACTATTCAGCTGATTGGTTTTGCTACTAAGAAACAAAATCCATATTAGGTGGATAATCATACAGCAATATTTCACCTGTCCCCAAACAAGCTCCCCCACTCCCACAAACAGACACCACAGCCATTGTTGTGTGTTTAAAAGGAGAACAGCTGAAGGGCTTCCCTCCGAACTGGACAATCAAAATCTGAAACGAGAATAACAAAATGTATAAAAAAATACTTAAAATGTAATCCATAGAAATAAATAATAAACCATTTAGTTAAAACAGAGATGGTGTGTGTTTGCACAGTACTTGTATATTGCAGGTTATAACACAATCACTTTAACCTCTTGCTGCCCATGTAACACATGTGCAGTGGCAAATGGGACGGGAATTAACTGACACACACTGCATATATGTATCCATGGGCAGCAGAGTTTTCTTTTCTGGAAGCTCTGCTAATGATCGGTTGTTGGCAGGACCAGCTCCTGCGACCACTGTGACATCCAATCACGGTGGTCACATGATCGGCTGGTCCTTTAACTCCCACACATATTCATCCGTGGTCAGCAGAGTTTTCTGCACTGGGAGTTCTGCTTATGATTTGGAGCTCCGCTTATGATCGGGAGCTGGAAGGACCGGCTTCTGATCATGTGACCACTGTGACGGACAATTATAGCAGTCACATGATCAGCCAGTCCTTTCTTCTAAACACAGGGGTTTTGTTTTCTCTGGGCCCATGCACACAGTTCATAAAGACCAGTAAAATTGCTCCTTGAAATTTCAATTCATTTTAGAGGAAGTTACATGAGCACTGGATTTCTGATGACTAGTGAACAGTGTGGTAAAATGAAATTAATACAGGAGGTTCTTACCTGGACTCCAAAAGTGCCCAGCACTATGCTACAGAAAATTGGGTTTGAAAAAATACCATCGAATACATTCCTCTCTCCATGGATTTTGCGTGCATTGATTTCGTTAAACAACTGCATCATGACAAAGGTGTTAAAAATGATGGTGTAATGTTCAGAAGGAGGGGAGTGTAGCGGGGCATTTCTGCCACTGTCAATGTCAAAGAAGATTTCACCTAGAAGACAAATATGAACAAAAGCAATCTTACAGCCTCATTCCTTGAAATACATCAAAAAGAAAAGTAGCAAAAACACAATAAAAATCCCAAGGTTTCATCTCTTTGCAATCATTTCTCGGGGTGGGAGGTGTGGTCTCAGTCTTTGAGAGATTTTCCAAAAAATGTCCTAGTCTGTGTGTTACTTGAAGGTTTGTCTTTAAATTTCTGGATAGAGTAGGGAGGAAATTAACCCCTATGTTTTCCAAGTAGATTAACCTCCTCTATCTGTCTTGGTGACTATGGAGACAGAAAGTAACTTCAGCTTGTAAGCATGTACAGTCTACAGTCTCCACTGCAGGTGCCACTCGCCCGTAGCAGCAATCCAACTGGAGGAGAAAGTCAGGAGAAACTGGGTTTCTCTATGACTTCCTTGGTCCCTGGAGCAGTGATCCGTTTGGATGTGCTGGAGCCAGGCAACCCTGGTGGTCATCTTGAGTAATGTAAAGTCTTTTTAGGTCTCTGCCTCTGGGTTTTGGTGCACATTTTGAGAGTGGCTAGTGTAGGGGCAGGATACCCATCTGTTAGGTACAGCACTAGCGGTAGAGAGAGGTTCTGGAAGTGTAGGGAAAGAGTAGGGTCTACATCTGCATTGTCAGGAAGCTCCCCTTTGGATTGGACTGGCCAGGCCACACTGCTGTCCTTGACAGATGCTGTTGCCAGCTCAGGTCTACACTCTGCTGACTCTACTTTTAAGTGACCCTTTTAGATGAGCCTTCCCTTCCTGTCTTGTACTGTTTTGCAAGTTCTGCAATACATTGTTTTTGGCAATCCGGGACTGTGTGCTTTCTGCTAGCACACCACACTGCACCTACCCAACAAGATGGCTCGTGGGGATGTTGGAAAAGAGTTAGATAGGAGAAATATTGTTAGGCACAGATGCCAAGGGCAATCCTGGTACAAAAGAATTGGTAAGAAGGATAAAGTCAACACTTACTGGAACATTCAGTTACACCTAGGGCTCCAAAACCCTTTTCCTTATTTTTTTTTTTAATTCCTGGATAGAGTAGGGAAACAACTGAACCCCAGTGACTCCTTTGAGTAGATTAACCCTCCATATCTCTCCGTGTGACTACTGAGACAACAAGTAACTTCATCTTTCTGGTGGAGATGGTAGCAACCAGTTCAATAGGAGAAAGATTGTCAGGTACAAATGCCAAGGGCAACCCCAGTATTCTCAACATTGGAACCTTTGGAAGAATTACTAAGAAGGTTAAGTCAACGCTTACTGGTACATTCATTTACACCTAGTTCTCCTAAATCATTTTCCTTCAATAATAGCCCAAACTGTTTTTTAATTCCTGCATAGAGTAGGGAAGGAATTGAACCCCTGTCACCCGTGGGTACATTAACCCTCTATATCTGTCCTGGTGAGCACTGAGACAAGAAGTAACTTAAGCTGCCTAGTGGGGATGGAAACAACTAGTTAGATAGGAGAAAGATTGCCAGTTACAGATGCCAAGGGTAACCCCAGTATTCTCAACATTGGAACCATTGAAAGAAATGGTAAAAAGGATAAAGTCAGCTCCTACTGGGACATTTAATTACACTGGGGTACCTAGTGCTCCAAAATCCTTCACAAAGCAGAAGCAATGAAAAAACTTTCAGAGGTTTTAATCTTTCCCTACTCCAAAAAAACATTTTGGCTCGAGTACCACTTTGATTTAACCTTTCTATTTATAGAAGGGTTAAATAAAATAGGGCCAATGGTGGAGTGGCATCACTTGACCACCTGAACCATCTTTTCTGACACTTACCAACAAACAACAATGTGAAGATAATGACGAGTTGGTAGACTGCATGACCAAGTATATTTTTCATCATGGTGCGAGATATAAGGGGTTTGTTTCTTCCATAGGGTTTGCGTAGAAGCAGTGATTCTGTAGGGGGTTCCGTTGCTAACGCCAGGGATGCAAAGGTGTCCATAATTAGATTTACCCAAAGCATCTGCACTGCTTTTAGTGGTGAGTCCTATGTATTAAGCAAATTGAAGAGTTAAAAAAATATATATATTTTTATTTGCAGCAATGTTTTTGAAGTCTGGTAAATGGATTTTTGCCTCAACTCCCAAGTCATTTGATCACTTTACCAGTTTAACAGCTTCCTGAAGGCAAACTCTAAATTAACATTCCCCTGAATGATGCTTGTGCCGAAGGGTCATTATCCTACGTTCTCCTTTTTTGACAACTAGCAGCCGACGCCATGATGTGCTGCTAGCTAACAGATTCAGCTGTCCCTGGCAGCTGAAAACCCCACTAACATTCAGGAACCGATCATGGTGGCTCCCAATTATGTTATTACGTATTGAGGAAACTTGAGTCCCAAGAAAAAAGAGGGCCGCTTCATCAGGACAAATGCATGGAATACTGACTAAAAAATAGCAGATAAGGATAACAGTCAAGACAGATTCATGAATGATTTCTGAAATGTGAATTTGACTCAATCAGTTCAATTTGCTTTTGTCAAATAAGCCAGTGGAAATCCAATCCAGTCCAATCAGACACAGGCACTGTCTGCAGGAGGCAGCTGTCAGAATACAATAGCCAGCACTGCACCTCCATCCATACTGCTTAGTGTCTATGGGGTAATCAAACGATTTCCCTCATTCATCTCATGGGGCTGAACAAGAGAAACCTTACCATGTATAGCCAGCCTAAAGGAGAAGCGCATGTCCACTTTCAAAGTGAATTTTCACTTCTCTTGGTGAATGAGGTAAAACAAAATAAAAAATTTATTTTTCAAAAAACACCCAATCATGTGCAAGGAAAATTGAAAGACAGGATTTTGTTGGATGACTGAAATCAGTACAACTTCACCTTATTCACTAAGATAAGTAAAAATTCCCTGCACGAAGAGAAAAATCACTTAGCTTATTGAAATTGGTGAATTTGTCCCGATTTCAATCATCCAATCATGTGCAAGCAAAAATCCTGTTTTTTTTTTTTTGGGTAGGCTTTGCAAAGTGAATGTTCATTCTGTTTTGCTTAATTCACCTAGTTAAGTAAAAATTCACTTTGAAAATGAATCTGGTTTACTAAATCAACCCCACATCTTCAGAAACCTTCAGGAGAATCTTATTGTTTCCCTTTGATGGAACATAGAAAATAGATATGTATGTCAATCCAATATGTTCAGAACTGTGATTGTAAAAGAAAGGTAAAAAAAGTCAATGTGCAAGGGTCTGGAAGCCCTTGTGTATATGAGTTGTGACAATTTAATTCCTGGAATGGACTGTAAAAAAAGTTTGCTTACCTATACACAAGCGGCTGTTGTCACCTTCAAAGTAGTCCCCATGTCAAGACTGAGTCAACTAGCCTGTGACCCAGGCAATTTATTAGAACATGTCAAAACATGCTCCATTGCGAATGGCTGTGTGACTCGCCAGCATAGGTCTACACCACTCGCATTCCAGGAATAAAATTGTCACACCTCATAGTCAGCTGTAACCTACTCCAAATATGTCTGTTTATGAACTGCAGGACATTTTAACAGTTTAAAAAGCAGCCCAACAGAACAAGATGATGAAGGTTGAACACAGTTGGGCTGTTTTCAAAAGAGTTGAAAATCTTTACTCAAATTTTTGCATCAGTTATTTGGAAAGTATGAAGGACTCTAGTGAATAAACTAAAGCTGATTTTCTGAAAACCCTGAGAATCATAATTTAAAAAATTGAGTGAATATTCACCTAATTTATCCAATCATGCAAAAAAACATCTGCTTACAAAGTAAGCTGTGCAAAGTAAACAGGAATTTGCTTTTCAAATGATCGGATAACTGAAGTGAATATTCACACAATTTTGTGTGGATTGGTTCCCAAATAGAGTCCCTCAAACCTTACAGATAACTGTAAAAAAAGTGAATGGTGAGCATGCAGGGCTAGTCTCCAACGTGGTCACATTTATGTCTAGCCCCGTCTAAAACTAATATCTAACTTTTTGGAAATAATTAGTGAGATGATTCAGTTAGTGAGCTCTATAAATTTCTCTGACACAACAATGGTGAAATACACTCCCCCCCAATCCCATGTAGTTTGTGTCTTCAATTCTTCCTATAGGGCCTAAGAAAGGTGTCATTCTTACGGCTGGATTCCCTGATAATTAATGTAGCCACCATTGTCAAATATTCCCTGAAGGAGATAATGAAATTTGGTTTTGCAATGGCTGCAGAAGCTGAGGACTTCTGGTGAGTCTTGTCCACTGCTAGAGTCCGTGAGAGACACAATGGACTGGATTTACTAAATCATACAGGTTCACTTTACATAGAATGTTGCACTTTGCAAGAGTATTTTCCCCAAAGTTTGGTGAAAGTGGTGAAATTTCACTTTGCAAAGAATACCCAATAATGTGAATGGAAAATAAAAAGAACAGCAGCTTTTTGACTTGCACATGGTTGGATGATAGAAGGCAGCAGAGCTTCCTATCATTCGTTCTTGGGTAAATTCCCTGACAAAGTGATCAGCCTGTTTGCCTTTAATAAACCAACCCCAATATATCTATAGACATTTGTGGACATCTGACTTTCATACCTGCACTAAATTGTCAATGATATGTGCACCCCCTACCAAATGATTGAGCTCAGGTCTTTTTCAGTGAAGCATTCTGTTAATACTACAGCATGCAAAGACATTGTAGACAAGTGTGCTTCTTCCAACCTTGTGGTAACAGTTTGAGGAGTCCCTTTTCTGTTCCAGCAACAAGACCAGGTCCATAAAGACGTGACTTGACCAGTTTGGTGTGGAGGAACTCAAGTGGCCTGCACAGAGCCCAGAACTCAACCCTACTGAACCTTTTTGGGATGAAATGGATTTTTGATGGCGAGCCATGTCTTCTCATCCAACATCAGTGTCTGAGCTGGGCACAAATTCCAACAGACAATTGTGCACTTTCAGCTTGTGTGCTAACAGCTTGGTGAAGACCTTTTTCTATTCTGTCATGACTTTGTCCCAAGTAAAAAAAACAGCTTCATAAAGACATTGTTTGATGGGTCTGGTGTGGAGGAGTTCAAGTGGCCTGACCAGAGCCCTGACCTCAACCCTACTGAACACCTTTGGAAAAAATGCAGAGAGCCAGGTCTTCTCATCTGACATCTTTATCTGACCTCATGAAAGATCTCTTGGTTCAATGAGACTAAATTCCTACAAACATCAGAGTATCAGAGACAGAACCTTCTGGCTCTTATTTATCTGTGTCATCAGATGGTTTCAACAGCATGAAGAAAACTTTAAAATCAGCACTAGAAGCCCCTTCACAGTCAACAATGATAGGGTGCTTACTACACAGTTGCTTTTTGTGCTGATCCAATTCATTTTAAAGGTGTTTAATTTTTTACAAGCTGTGATGAGGAAGAGGTTGGAGGAGTAGTGTTGTGGGAGGTTCTCTATCTGGAGGTTCTGGGAGTTGGGTAGCCCTAACCCACTACTGAACGTGGCCGAGTTCCCTGTAGATTCACAGTACTAATGCACCAATCATCCCTAACATTATGACCACCTACCAAAACTTAATATTGAGTAGGTCCCCATTTTGCTGCCAAAACAGTGCTGACCTATTGAGGCTTTGACTTCACAAGACCTTTGAAGGTACTCTGTGGTATCTGGCATCAAGCCATCATTAACAGATTCTTTAGGTTTTGTACATTGTGAGGTGGGGCCTACATGGATTGGACTTCCCATTGTGCAACCTGGTGCCATCTCTTCCTCAGGTAAGCGATGCACACACCCCGCAATCCACATGATGTAAAAGAAATGTGATTCAATAAATCAGGCCAAGTTTTTTCCATTTCTCCGTGCTGCTCCAGTTCTGATGCTCATGTACCTGGTGTAGGCTTTTGGCTGTGGACACGGATGAGCATGGACACCCTGACCAGTCTGCAGCTATGCAACAAACTGCAATGCACTGTGTGTTCTGACACCTTTCTATCAGAATCAGCATTCACTGTTTCAGCAGTCTGAGCTACAGGAGCTCTTATATTGGATCAGACTACACAGGCCAGCCTTCCCTCCCCATGTGCATCAATGAGCCTTGATTGCCCATGACCCTGTCACCGATTCTCCAGTTTTCCTTCCTTTGACCACTTTTGGTAGGTCCTGACCACTGCAGACTGGGAACATCACGCAAGAGCTGCAATTTCAGGTGTCACCCCTCTTTCAGGTGTCATTGTAACAAGATAATCAATGTTACTTTACCTATCATTGGTCACACTGTTAAAGCTGATTGGTGTATATCACCATGCAGAGTCCATATCAACATTCTCAAAGCCCTGATGAGGGGAAAGTAGTATGGCCCCCAAAAAGGGTTGGATTATTAAACTCAAACATTGCATTCACATCCCAAGGCTTCTGTGAAAGTTCCTCAGTATATGGATGCAGCCCACATATGACTTTGTTGCCCTATTGGGTCACCATTTGTACAGTTGTGATAAAATCAATTTCAAACACGCAAGCTCTATTTCCTCAAGGCTCCAGTGCTATCAATTCACCACTTCATGTGATTAATGGGTGGCTGTCACATGATGATGGACATACTGACCTGAGTGATGCAGGCCCCAGTAAATGCCACAATCACAGCTACCACATTGACGGTCAGTTGAAACTGAAGAAATTTTGAAATGCTGTCATATACGTTGCGGCCCCACATAACAGCTTTGACAATGCTGGAGAAATTGTCATCTGTTAGGATGATATCTGAGGCTTCCTTGGCGACATCTGTGCCTGCCAATCCCTAAAAGTCCGAAGAAAAAAAAAAAACAAAACTAAATAATTACTTTGCAGATATTGAATTTATATAATTTTATACTAATTTAAAGTTCAACTATAACATGTCTCCAAACTTTCTAAACAAACGGCCAGGTTACTGACCTTCAGACATTAGGGGGGCTGGACTATAGCTATCGGGAGTACAAAATGTCCCAGCAGTGGGAGTAAACAATTCCCCATCATCGGTATCATTGGGAGGAATTGTTCCCCATCATTGGTGTCATTTGGCCCATTGTTGGTGTCATTGGGAGGAACTGTGTCCTATCATTGATGTCATTGGTAGGAATTGTGCACCATCAATAGTGTCATGGGGAATAATTTTGCATCATCATTGGTGTCATTGGGAGGTAGTGCCATTCATTGGTGTCAGTGAATAAAATAGTGCCTAAAGAGCCAGATAAAAGCAAAGAAAGGGACGTATTTTGGAGACCACTGATCTAGCCCTTTCCTCTCCAGTGTTACTGTCCTGGCCCACCCCTTTCATTCATTGGATTTCAGTTCTTTCAACCATGGAGGCTCAGCATTGTATGCACACTGGCTGCCAGGGGAGCAGGAGAAGAGGTAGAGTCAAGCAAGAGCAATAACTCTTGCAGTGCTTTGGGAGCCTATCTAAAAGGGTAACATAATATTTTCCCCAGATTTCCTCTCTCAGGAGCAGCTCCAAAACTCTGGCTGACCCCCTCCCGTTGGCTAGTGAGGATGGCCATCACATTGGCTAGCCTGTATATATTAAATTAAACCTGTATTCAGATAATATATAGGATTTAAATGCTGAACTTTCCTTTGAAAATGGTAGTTGCCCTGGCTACAATGCAAAGCCAAAGGCCTCAGTGCTATCCAAGTCATTGCCCTGGGAAAGGTCAATGTTCTGAAAGGTAAGTTCTGAATTTCCTCTTAGTTCAAAAGCTGCATGCTTATTCCAGGCCAGTGACTCAGAAAGTAGTGGTTTAGTGTTAAGGTGATAAGGTGAAGCAGTGGTTAAGTTCTAGGGTGATAAGGGGAAAGAGTGGCTAAGTGCTACGGTGACCAGGGGAAGGAGTGGTGAAGTGTCACCCTAGCACTTAACCATCTTCATCTCTAGCCTGGCTAGGACCTCAATGAACATATGCAGATTTTTAGTTGGGGCTACCTGGAAGGGCAACAGCTGGGAACTTCTCCTGAATAAGAACAGGGCAGTTCCAGGCTTCAGCCTATTTGTACTCACTCCCATTCACCATCTGGGCACCTTCCCCCAGGGATTGGCTGAGACAACATACAGTATATATTCAGCAGTTGATTTGTTTCATTCAGCCCACTACATTCTAGAATCCTCCAGAAGGCAGGGGGAACAATCAAAACTGCAGCCAGTGAAACCCTGAACAACCCAAAGCAATCACAAGCTGCTCAACAGGAAAGCCACAAGAACTAAATTTACCTAACCTAACTAGCAGCCTGTCTAGGAAGGTGTTACACTTGCTTAAAGCGGAACTAAAGTCTCTCAATCAACATTAGCTATGTTTATTCCTTATGCTGCTCGCATTGGTAAAGAGATAGGAAGGTATAATCTATTTGCTTGTGTTACTTTTTTTTTTTACATTTGTTCAGTTGCTTCCTGATTTCTGGCCTAGGTCAAAATGCTGTCATACATCCCAGGAGTCTTCATGGGCATTTTTTTTTCTGTTTCATGTGGAGGAGGGGCTTTCTCAGCTAAGCACACCCTCCTGCTTGCATGCATGCCTGAACTAAGGACAGATGGATTCCAGGAAGTAAATGCTGCATGAATCATCTGCCCCTAATCAAGATGGTTGCAACTAAAATTAGGGGTGTTTATCAAAGTGATTTCTCAACAAAATAAAATATGGAGACATGAATAGGTCAGGGAGGTTGCTTTGAAAATTAAAAATGAATTAAACAGTTTTCAGTTTGTGGTTTTAAGATACAGTTTAGTTCCACTTAGCACTGATAACCTCAGTTTATAAATTCCATTATTATTCATTTTTGGCTGTGGAGATGCTTTCCTGGGGTTATATGTTTTGGGTGCCCTGTGTTCCTTCCCGTCACTCTACTAGACATGTCAAATGACAGGGATGGAAAGTTGTTGTCACAATATGATTTCACCGATGATAATGTAATTTCCTTCAGTCTTTTTATACATGCAAATCATCCAGGAGGGAGCCACAAATTGAATTACCATTGCAAATCCAACATCTGCTTTTTTGAGTGCTGGGCCATCGTTGGTGCCATCTCCTGTCACTGCCACCACTTGACGTTGTTCACCGATTGTGCTGTCAATGATCCCTGGAAATAAAGAAAGGGTTAGGGCAGCCATTGCACATAATGATGCTCTGGTTTATCGTATTAAAGGGAAGCTTTCAGAACATTTGTTATCTGATATAGATGAAGCTTCCATCCTGTGCTGGATGACTCTGCTGCCTGATTTTTTCGCTTTGCCCCAGATATAGCATGCTTCCCGTAGTCAAGCAATAGCATCCACCACTACTGGATGAGTGCCAAATCCACCATATAGCCCCTATTCCAGTAGGTACCCTTTCCCTTTCAGTGCTGTTTTTCATGTTTAAAAAAGCATTTTAGGCCTGGAGATGATTAAAACCCCTCCCCCCCCAAGAAAAACCCATGATATATTTTCTGTAAGCAGACACCCCGAGGTATAACATGGTGGTAGATCCATTTTTTTATGTCACAGTGGTTTATCAAATGCTAATTTTTGGTAAGAAATATGCTAAAGTTTATTTTAGGGAACAAAAAAGCAATATATTACCCACATTTTCCAGAAAATATACAATATGAGATTGTGCTGAGTAATTGGATACCTAACATGTCAAGTTTTAATATTGCACGAGACCAGGGTGGACTGACCATTCGAGCACTCGGGCACTGCCCGAGGGCCTGGGGTCAGAAGGGGGTCCCAGGAGATGCCCCTGGTACCTTTCATTGGCTTTTTCATAGGCTTTTTTGGGTGTGGGTGAGGACACAGGGGCCCCATGATCCCCTGTTGCCCGATCATGGGGCCCCATGAGTTGTCAGTCCGCCCCTGCATGAGACTGTTGAGTGGTGACAAACTTTGTTGCCCTAAATTTTCCATAAACTGAAAAAAGAAGCACACAGGGGAATGCAAACACCCAGTGCAGGGGTGGGCAACCTGCGGCTCTCCAGCTGCTGTGGAACTACATTTCCCATGAGGCATTGCAAAGACTGGAAGTTACAAGCATGACACTACAGGTCCCATGAGACATTGCAAAACTCAGAGGAATGGGACACGTCCCCGAAAGTGTCAGCAGGCTGACTTCAAAACCAGTTGGGAACTTTGCTACTACGCTGGGTCATCTCAGTGGCTTTACAAGCTTTTATGCTTTCATGTTTGTGAGTATGTTATCGCTTTTTTACACCTTTAACCACTTCCTGACCGCCCAATAGCAGAAGTACTGCTACAGGGCATCAGGACTGCGCATAATCACACACACATATATATATATGTGTGTGTGTGATTTTACGTGCCTATCCATGCCGCCATTGGCGGCTTCAGCTGTCGAACACCGGGTCCCGGCCGGAGATTGCCCGCCGGTGCTCGGCGATTGCCGAGGAATAGTGACAAAGGAGAGCTCTGTATGTAAACAATGCAGAACTCTCCCATCAGCACCAGCACGCTGCTTTGTATTGCTCTGCATAGCAGAGCAATACAAAGCAGCATTCTTACACAGTAAAGCACACACAGACAACATAGTAAAACAGCACAGAGTTAACCCTTTGATCGTCCCAGATGTTAACCCTTTCCTGCGCAGTGTCAGTACAGTGTCAGTGCTTTTTATTAGCACTGATCACTGTATTAGTGTCAGTGGGGATGTCAGTGACACCAAGTCAGTTCCCTTTCAGTGTTAGAATGACCGCCGCAATCAGGGGTGGACTGACAACTCATGGGGCCCACGGCAATAGGGGATCATGGGGCCCCTGTGTCCTTGCCCAAACTCAAAAAAGCCTGTGAAAAAGGTACCAGAGGCATCTCATGGGGCCCCCTACTGACCTCGGGCAGTGCCCGAGTTTCCAAATGGTCAATCTGCCCCTGGCCGCAGCCCCACTATAAGTTGCTGATCGCCGCCATTACTAGTATAAAAAATAAAAATAAAATCCATAATATATACTGCCATTTTTAGACGCAATAACTGTCACATAAACCGAATAATTTACATGTATTAGGATTTTTTTTTAGCAAAGACATCGCAGAATACATTTTGGCCTAAATTTATGACGAAAATTTGATTTTTTAAATTTTTTTTACTGGACATGTTTTCTAGAAAAAAGTTAAAAATCTAGTTTTTTTCTTTTTCAAAATTGTCAGTCTTTTTTGTTTATAGCCAGGGGCGGACTGACAACTCATGGGGGCCCCGGGCAATAGGGGATCATGGGGCCCCTGTGTCCTTGCCCAAACTCAAAAAAGCCTATGAAAAAGGTACCAGGGGCATCATGGGGCCCCCTACTGACCCCGGGCCCTCGGGCAGTGCCCAAATTTCTAAATGGTCAGTCCGCCCCTGTTTATAGCACAAAAAATAAAAAAACGCACAGACGATTAAATACCACCGAAAGAAAGCTCAATTTGGGGGAAAAAAGGACATAAATTTCATTTTGGGTGCAGCATTGCATGACCGCAAATGGCCCTCGGATAATGCGCTAGGTGTTTGCACCCCCCCCGTGTGCTTCTTTTTCTGTTTTGTGGTTTGATCTCCCAATGGGAGGAGGGCTGCACTACCAAAACCTTGTTCCAAGGCTAGGTGCACTTCTGACTCCCCTACCCATAACTAGTTCCCTACAGGGCCAATTCTGACATTTCTCTCCTACATGTAAAAAAATCAGTATTTTCTTGCTAGAAAATTACTTGGAACCCCAAAACAAGTAAATACAAAAACAAATCAGTGATGACAGCTGCCATATTAATATCCTGAATTATTCCCTTTAACAAGTGTCAGGACGAAGCAGCGAGTGACTCCTAGAATCTAATCGGAAGTCAATTTTGATTAGTCTGACCAGAGCTAGAAAACGCCAGCCTTTAAAGCACTATTTAACCCAAAAGCAAACATTTATTATATTGCAGTTTACCAATTTTCAGATGTGACGCCTGCCCTAGTTTTCTTTTTTAGGCTTTCTTTCCTTTATTTTCGTCTGGTGATCTGGCCAGCAAGTCTGTTGTTTTGCAAAGGAAAAAAAAGTTCTGCAGATGTAGCAGTTAGAGGTAAGAGACACACCATTTACCACTGACAGGGGTATTTACAATGGTCAGCTTTTATTTACTCATGTAAAACCTTCATCCCAAACAGGATAACATTGTTTAGTGTAGCTTCTTAAAAAGTATTAGCTGGAGTTCAGCTTCAGTTTGTTAGTGTATCTAAATCTGCTAGAACATCTAACACTCCCCTCCCCGTAGACTGACAATGCTGCTTTCCAAAAGTCCTTCATCCAGATTGGGGGCGCTCTAATACAGAAGGTGTGTTACTGGCCAGACCACCAGGTGAAAACAGAGGGGACAAAAAGTTTAAAAAAAGAAAACGAATGCAGCCACCACCACATCTAATGATTGGTAAGCTCTAATATATAACATTTTTGGTTTGGGGTTTCATACCACTGTAAAGTTGAAGCTTAAAACACACAGTGCACAGAAGAAATACTAATATGTAAGCTATTTTACCTGCCAAAGGCTTTGTATCTCTGTCCATCCAGTCCTGAAATGTATACAGCTCTGCCATATCACTCAGACCTGTCTGGCAGAGCGGGAGACCTGAATCTTCTCTGCTGAAGCTGTGTAACACTTTTAGGTCTCCTCATCACCCTCTGACTGGACAGTGACAGAGAAGCAGCAGACTGATGAGCTCATTTCTGTCACTTTGTTCTCCTCTTCTATCAGCATGCTGCTTGCACTGCAGCCCAAATGAGTGGCTGCTTGTGCTGCTTTTCCCCTCTTAGCCTGAGCTCTGCTGTACCCAGGGACTTCAATATGCTGATATCCAGTAAAATTCTGGTAATATTTACCTGGAGGGCGGCTTTAAAGCAAACCTGTGGCATGCTCTTATTGCATAATGCAGGGGTCTCCAAACTATGGCCCTCCAGGTGTTGAGGAACTACAAGTCCCATGAGGCCTTTCAAGACTCTGACAGCCACAGGCAAGACACCCAAAGACAGAGGCATGATGGGACTTGTAGTACTTCAACAGCTTGAGGGCCAAAGCTTGGACACCTCTGGCATAATGGAAGAGCTGTGCCAGGGGCGGACTGACCATTTGGAAACTTGGGCACTGCCCGAGGGCCCAGGGTCAGTAGGGGGCCCCATGAGATGCCCCTGATACCTTTTTCATAGGCTTTTTTGAGTTTGAGGCAAGGACACAGGGGCCCCATGAGTTGTCAGTCCGCCCCTGAGCTGTGCTGGGTCTCTCACAGTATATGTATGAGCATCATGTATCAACGAAAATCCCACTCCCCCCAGAAAAAAAATTTTTTTGAGCACTAACCTTCACACTTACCCCCTAAGCATAAATTCCCCTTGAAAGCCAAAATTCTCCCCAAACAAAATTCCCCACCTTCCAGGACAAATCCCCTCTCCCAGCTCAAATGCTTTCCATCCCCAAATCCCCCAACACAAACCTCCCCCCCAAATCTCTTTCCTATTACAAATCCACCATCCAAGTCCCCCTCCCACCCAAGTCGCCACTGTGCCTAGGGCAGCTGCCCCTCCTGCCCACCCCTTGTCCATCCCAGCCCTGATGCTACTTAAAGCGCAGTACCTGCTCCAGTACCTCCACCTCCTTGTAAGGGAATGTGTGTGTATACAGTACATCTGCAAGTCCAGGTAAAGGGTAGTAAAGCAGAACTCCAGGAATTATCTTTATTGCCAACTTACATGCCACACGGTCCAACTTGGCACAATATAATTATCCATATCAGGTACCTGGTCAGTGCTACATACAGTGGTATTCATGATCTTTCAGTTTCCATTTGCATGCTGACCACAGGGGGGGCACTTACTGTGCCACCACCACTATTCACAGTCTAACTTGTATTATTTTTTTCAATGAATGCAAGGTGTTCTGTGATTGGATGAGAGTAGATATTGATGTCATCCACCCCTCCTCTCCACCCTGTCAAATCAAAAAACACCTTGAAGAGTCTTTTCATGTCCAGGGTGAATAGGTTTGTCTCTGCCCCCTGCCTGTAGTTTTTTGTAGTGGGTGGGGACATATGGCCTTATGCTCTCTGCACAGTCTGATGATGTCACTGCTACTTTACAAGGAAATATCTGGAATTGCAAAGGTATACACCAAGTGGATTTATTCTGTTTGTGTCTACTGAGGAATATAGTGAAGCAAAAGTATTTGCGCCTGGGATTCAGCTTGAACTGTTTTTTTTTTTAGAAGTTTCTGCAGTACCTTATCATGGTCAATAGATGTCACTGTTCCCCAACATTTACACAAGAAACAGCCCAGCTTCAAAAGTGGGACTGATATAAGTGGGACCAGGGGCGGACTGACCATTTGGAAACTTAGGCAATGCTTGAGGGCCCGGGGTCAGTAGGGGGCCCCATGAGATGCCCCTGGTACCTTTTTCATAGGCTTTTTTGAGTTTGGGCAAGGACACGGGCACCATGATCCCCTATTGCCCGGGGCCCCATGAGTTGTCAGTCCGCCCCTGAGTGGGACTGATATTTCTTTTTATCCTTTTGCTCAATGACACTGCACAGTTTGATGTACATTGGCCGCATATAATGGACATCTATTGTTACCTTTTACAAGCGTGTGTTTATCAGTTGGCGAAGACCGGGCAAGGACACGCAACTTCGGCCAGATTTTATCCAGACGTTCTTGTTCTATCTAAGAAAAGCAAACCACATGTTACAACAAATCACTGATTCTAGAAAAGGAAATAGCTGAACTTTGATCTGTAAACAGTGTGACGCTAAATCCAAACTGGCATAATAAAGAACAAATTAAATGAAAAATTGTTAGCAACAGCCTATGCACATATGGCCTCATAAATGGCGGGCATATAAAATAAAAATGTGTGTGTATATATATATATATATATATATATATATATATATAAATATACAGTCAGGTCCATAAATATTGGGACATCGACACAATTCTATCATTTTTGGCTCTATACACCACCACAATGCATTTGAAATGAAACGAACAAGATGTGCTTTAACTGCAGACAGTCAACTTTAATTTGAGGGTATTTACATCCAAATCAGGTGAACGGTGTAGGAATGACAACAGTTGGCATATGTGCCTCCCACTTGTTAAGGGACCAAACGTAATGGGACAGAATAATAATCATAAATCAAAATTTCACTTTTTAATACTTGGTTGCAAATCCTTTGCAGTCAATTACAGCCTGAAGTCTGGAACGCATAGACATCACCAGGCGCTGGGTTTCATCCCTGGTGATGCTCTGCCAGGCCTCTACTGCAACTGTCTTCAGTTCCTGCTTGTTCTTGGGGCATTTTCCCCTTCAGTTTTGTCTTCAGCAAGTGAAATGCATGCTCAGTCGGATTCAGGTCAAGTGATTGACTTGGCCATTGCAGAACATTCCACTTCTTTCCCTTAAAAAACTCTTTGGTTGCTTTTGCAGTATGCTTTGGGTCATTGTCCATCTGCACTGTGAAGCGGCGTCCGATGAGTTCTGAAGCATTTGGCTGAATATGAGCAGATAATATTGCCCGAAACACTTCAGAATTCATCCTGCTGCTTTTGTCAGCAGTCACATCATCAATAAATACAAGAGAACCAGTTCCATTGGCAGCCATACATGCCCACGCCATGACACTACCACCACCATGCTTCACTGATGAGGTGGTATGCTTAGGATCATGAGCAGTTCCTTTCCTTCTCCATACTCTTCTCTTCCCATCACTCTGGTACAAGTTGATCTTGGTCTCATCTGTCCATAGGATGTTGTTCCAGAACTGTGAAGGCTTTTTTAGATGTCGTTTGGCAAACTCTAATCTGGCCTTCCTGCTTTTGAGGCTCACCAATGGTTTACATCTTGTGGTGAACCCTCTGTATTCACTCTGGTGAAGTCTTCTCTTGATTGTTGACTTTGACACACATACACCTACCTCCTGGAGAGTGTTCTTGATCTGGCCAACTGTTGTGAAGGGTGTTTTCTTCACCAGGGAAAGAATTCTTCGGTCATCCACCACAGTTGTTTTCCATGGTCTTCCGGGTCTTTTGATGTTGCTGAGCTCACCGGTGCGTTCCTTCTTTTTAAGAATGTTCCAAACAGTTGTTTTGGCCACGCCTAATGTTTTTGCTATCTCTCCGATGGGTTTGTTTTGTTTTTTCAGCCTAATGATGGCTTGCTTCACTGATAGTGAAAGCTCTTTGGATCTCATCTTGAGAGTTGACAGCAACAGATTCCAAATGCAAATAGCACACTTGAAATGAACCCTGGACCTTTTATCTGCTCATTGTAATTGGGATAATGAGGGAATAACACACACCTGGCCATGAAACAGCTGAGAAGCCAATTGTCCCATTACTTTTGCTCCCTTAACAAGTTTGAGGCACATATGCAAACTGTTGTAATTCCTACACCGTTCACCTGATTTGGATGTAAATACCCTCAAATTAAAGCTGACAGTCTGCAGTTAAAGCACATCTTGTTCGTTTCATTTCAAATGCATTGTGGTGGTGTATAGAGCCAAAAATGATAGAACTGTGTCCATGTCCCAATATTTATGGACCTGACTGTATATATATATATATATATATATATTATAATCTAATTTAGAATAATTTATTATAATTTATAATAATGTATCATACAATATATATTTATACAGGATGTGTATATATATATATATATATATATATATATATATAAAAATAAAAAAACTGTATATATATATTTTTATAATGTATTATAATTTAGAATAACAGTGTATAATAAATATAACGTAATATTATATTAATGCTTACAGTAATATATATATATATATATATATATATATATATACAATGGGGAAAATAATTATATGATCCCTTGCGGATTTTGTACGTTTGCCCACTTACAAATAAATGAAGGTTCTAACATTTTTACCATAGGTGTATTTTAAATGATAGAGACAGAATATCAACCAAAAATCCAGAACAACACATGACACAAATGTTATAAATTGAGTTGCAGTTCAGTGAGTAAAATAAGTGTTTGATCCCCTACCAACCAACAATAATTCTGGCTCCCACAGACTGGCTATGTGCTTATGTGGTACACAGATTAGTCCTGTCAATTTAGGAAGGTGCTCCTAAGGACAACAATTATGTGTCCACAGAATCTCTTGCTTCCATTCAATCTTCACCACCATGGGCAAATGACCAAAGAGCTGTCAAACGGCATCAGGGACAAGACTGTAGACCTGCACAAGGTTGGAATGGGCTACAAGACCTTCAGCAAGAAGCTTGGTGAGAAGGAGACAACTATTAGAGTGATTATTCGCAAATGGAAGAAATACAAAATAACCATCAACGTCCCTCGGTCTGGAGCTCCATGCAAGATTTCACCTCATGGGGTAAGGTTGATCATGAAAAAAGTGAGGGATCAGCACACGGGATGAGCTTGTGAATGATCTCAAGGCAGTTAGGACCACAGTCACCAAACAATCCATTGGTAACATAATACGCCGCCATGGATTGAAATCCTGCAGCGCCTACAAGGTCCCCCTCCTCAAGAAGGCACATGTACAGGCCTGTCTGAAGTTTGCCAATGAACATCTAAATGATTCAGAGAAGGTTGGGAGAAAGTGCTGTGGTCAGATGAGAATGAAATTGAGCTCTTTGGTATTAACTTGACTTGCCATCAGGGGCGGACTGACAACTCATGGGGCCCCCGGGCAATAGAGGATCATGGGGCCCCTGTGTCCTTGCTCAAACTCAAAAAAGCCTATGAAAAAGGTACCAGGGGCATCTCATGGGGCCCCCTACTGACCCCGGGGCCCTCGGGCAGTGCCCGAGTTTCCAAATGGTCAGTCCGCCCCTGCTTGCCATGTTTGAAGGAAGAATAAATGACTATGACCCTAAGAACACCATCCCTACAGTCAAACACTGAGGAGGAAACATTATGCTTTGGGGCTGTTTCTCTGCTAAAGGTACAGGCTGACTTTGCCACATTGAGGGGCTAATGGATGGGGCCATGTATTGTAAAATCTTGAATGAGAACTTTCTTCCCTCAGCCAGAACACTGAAGATGGGTTGTGGATGGGTCCTCCAGCATGACAATGACCCAAAACATACCGCCAAGGCAACAAAGGAGTGTCTCAAGAAGAAGCACATTAAGGTTATGGAGTGGCCTAGCCAGTCTCCAGACCTTAATCCTATAGAAAATTTATGGAGGGAGCTGAAACTTCGAGTTGCCAAGCGGCAGCCAAGAAATCTTAAGGATTTAGAGAAGATCTGTAAAGAAGAGTGGACCAAAATCCCTCCTGAGATGTGTGCAAACCTGGTAACCAACTACAAGTAATGTCTTACCTCTGTGCTTGTCAACAAGGGTTTCTCCACCAAGTACTAAATCATGTTCTGCTTGGGGATCAAATACTTTTTTTACTCACTGAACTGCAACTCAATTTATAACATTTGTATTGTTTTTTGTTCTGGATTATTGGTTGATATTCTGTCTCTATTATTTAAAATAAACCTATATTAAAAAGTATAGCCCCTTAATACTTACAAAATATGTAGGGGATCACATAATTATTTTCCCCACTGTATGTATATATATATATATATATATATATATATATGTTTCATCTCTTTAACAGTGCAAGTATGGCAAAATTGTTGTTGATCCTGTTCGAAATCCAGTGAGCTCCTATTTAGGTATTTACTTGTGCATTCCCTACATTAAAATCAGCATTGTCAGCCTTGTCCAGTTTCTTCTGCTGGTGTCAGGAATGGACTCGCCAATAGTGGTGGGACTCACCTGCCTTGTGGGTTGCAGTACCAGGACTGGCCAGCGGGTGCTCTCAGCAACCAGAGGCTCACTCCTGCAGTCAGCCAAAACACCTGAGGCTGATTGCAGAAGGTGCATATAAGGAATGACCAGGCCTGTGATCTGGGCCTTGGTGTCTGTTTCCCAAGAGCCCCTGTACCTGCATCCTGTCTGCTTCCTGTCTGATCCTGCTTGATCCCTGACTCTGATTGAACTCCGCCTGTCCTGACCTCTGCTATTCCTGACCACTCTCCAGTCTTCTCCTTTGTACCTTGTCTGCCTGATTGTTCCTGAACCGGCCCATCTGACTACGCTCTGCCTGCTCCTTTGTATCTTGCCTGCTCCTTTGCTACCGACCCGGCCTGCCCCCGACTACGCTTAGTATTGTTCTTTTGTTATCTGTTGGGGGTTTTGGTTTGGTTTGTTTGCACTGTGTTTATGTTTAGTTTTGCACTGCGTTTATGTATTGTTAAGTCTTAAATAAATTATTTTGTTTATACTATATCTGAAGCCTGCGTTTCCCTGTGTCAGTCCACACACACCTCTGGTCATACCCGGAGCCCTGACAGCTGGTCTACAGAACACCTCCCCCATATTACGCAGTTGGGGAGGTATTCAGTAATCCAGCAGGACAACACTTAAGCAGGCCTAGTAACACTACTTGGGACTTCTCTGTAGCAGAGGTAGTTTTATAGGCTAACTTGTCCCCTGTTAAGTAAGATCTATAGCTTTTGAATCAGCAAACCTCATGCTCTGCTGATTGGAGACCGTTTGGCTCTGAGTCAGCATGGAGTATGTCAGACCTCTGCAGAGAGACCACTGCTTCCACACAAAGAGTAAGGATCGGTCTCTACAGCTTGCTTGCAAGGGATAGGCTTTTCTACTTAGGCTGTGGCTGCTTTCTAAAGAATACACTGTGTCTGAGAAGCCAATAGTTAAGCCTGAATACAATCATATCTCCATAGTTGGTAGAGGGCATGCCTACTGGTGTGCAGGGATTGGGGTAAAGTTGGTATTTGCCAAGAGGTTTTGTTGAGGCTACAGTAAACATTGGGACAGTAGCCATTAGAGTGCACAGAGCAAAATGGGGTAGAGTTTTGAGCAAGGTTTGAAGGGTCATAAGATGTTAGGGCAGAAGACAAACCTCTCCTTTCTCATTCCTGATTCGTCGGTTGAATTCCTTTCCTTCCAAGCACAGGAAGTCCTCCCCTGGCTGGATGATGCCACATTTGGCTGCAATGGCTCGTGCCGTGTTGATGTTGTCCCCTGTGACCATGCGGACTGTGATCCCTGCGCGCTGGCATTTCCGGATAGCTTCTGGCACCTGAGGAATAAAGTCAAGTTAGGCTTCTGGTCAATGTGAAAATGTAAAAAAATGAGAGGATGAGTAGCTCAACGAGGAGCCCGCTACTCTGGTTAAGAAAGCCAAAGAAAAATATGAAACAGTCAACTAAGCCACTGATCTCCAAACTGCAGCCCATAGGCCAGATGAGGCCTTTTCCTTGCCTCTATCTTGGGGCACAAATCCCCCCACTGATACCAACAAGGGGGCATTATTCCTTCCACTGATACCAATAATGGGGCACTATTCCTTCCACTGATACTAGTGATGGGGCAACATTACTTCCACTGTCATCAATGACTGTGCAACATTACTCCCACTGATACCAATGATGTGACACTATGCCTTCCACTGACACCAATGATGTTGCACTATAACTCCTACTGATACCAATGATGGGGCGCTATTCCTTCCACTGACGCCAATGATGGTGCAACATTACTCCCACTGATACCAATGATGTGGCACTATAACTCCTATTGATACCAATGATGGGGCACTGTTTCTCTCCCTGACACCAATGATGGAGCACTATTTCTCCCACTAATACCAACAATGGGGCACTATTCCTCTCACTGACACCAATGATAGGGCACTATTCCTCCCACTGATATGGGGCACTGATCCTTCCACTGACACCAACAAGGGTTGGCTATTCCACCCACTGACACCAATGATGGGGCACTGTTCCTGTCACTGACAGCAATGATGGGGCACTATTCCTCCCATCAATACCAACAATGGGGCACTATTCCTCCCACTGATACTAATCATGGGGCACTATTCCTCTCACTGATACCAATGATGGGGCACTATATCTCTCACTGACATCAATGATAGGGAACTATTCCTCCCACTGATATCAAAGATAGGGTACTATTCCTCCTACTGATACCAGTGTTGGAGTACTATTCCATGGGTCACTATTCCTCCAACTGATATCAAAGATGGGGTACTATTCCTCCTACTGATACCAGTGTTGGAGTACTATTCCATGGGTCACTATTCCTCCCACTGATACCAATGATGGGGCACTATTCCTCCTACTGATACCAGTGTTGGAGTATTATTCCTCCCACTTATACCAGTGTTGAGGTACTTTTCTTCCCACAGATACAGCAGCCTCTATGTAATGTTTATACACTCACTGACCACCAAGCCTAAGGAAGTCTAAAAGACTGTAACCTGGCCCCTTGTTTTAAAAGTTTTTAGACCCCTAAACTAAGCAAAATAGAAAGAGGCCCTGACTTCAAAGTTAAGTTACATAGTTAGTCTGGCTGAAAAAAAGACAAAAGTCCATCCAGCCATTAATTGAATGGGACATTAGCATATAGAGCTTTGGTAGTCCTCGGAGGACCCCCAAAGCTTTATATGCTAATGTCCTATTCAATTAACCACTTCCTGACCGGCCGTTGCATATAAACGGCCGGACGGTGGCAGTGCAGGGTCGGGTGGCCGTTTATGAACGGCCTCCCCGCACCCTGCTTGTGCGCGCTCCCTGGTGAAACACCGATCATCGGACGGGACCTCTGTACGAGGTCCCGATCATGTGATCACTGATTGGCCAATCAGTGATCACATGCAAAGTAGTAAGCAAGATGTCAATTGTGACATCACTGCTTACTACGTGTGAAATCTGTGAATGATCACAGAGGTCACATGGTACAAGGCTATTCACAACAGCCTTGTACCATGTGACAAGGTATGACCAATCACAGATCACTCAGTACTTCTCAATGAGTGCAGGAATGCACACAGAGAGAAAGAGAAATGATTGCTTTTACATCCTATATGGGTGTAAAAGCAATCAGTGTAAAAAAAAAAAAAACTGTACTGCTATGGTGACAGTATGTAAAAAAAATAAATAAATAAAAAATAATAATATAAACAAATAAAATAAAAATTTAAAAAAAAATGTTTAAAAATTATAATTTTTGGTTATAAACTAATTTGTTTTTTGTTTTTTTTTACTAAAAAGATAACGGAATACATTTTGGCAAAGATTTACGATGAAATATTATTTATTTGCAAAATTTTATAAAAAAAAAAACACTTTTGTTCAAAATTTTTGGACTTTTTCATTTACATAGCAAAAAAAATAAAAATCCCAGCGGTGAATAAATACCACCAAAATAAAGCTTTATCTGTCTCAAAAAAATGGTAAAAAATTAATTTGGGTACAGTGTTGCATGACTGCGCAATTGTCATTCAAAGTGTGATAGCGCTGAAAGCTGAAAATTGCCCTGGTCAGGAAGGGGGTAAAAGTGTCCGGTCTGGAAGTGGTTAAACTTGAAAATGTAACAGATCACTAACTCCAGGGAGATAAAAATCTATTCCACCCAGATAACGATTCATTAAAAAAATCATGAAATATAGTTTGATATCAGTGGGCATACCGGATTTTCCTGATATCAGCCCTTGATACTGAGGCTGGCCATACATTATACAATTTTCTTGAGAATTTTGCTTTAGATTTACCAAAAACCATATAATATGAGGTCAAACCTAAAAAACACTTTCAATTGTATCCAGCTAGGCAGGCTCTTGCACTACATAGTTGAAGGTAAATCTAAAGGGAATTGGGCAGAAATTGGACAGAAAATTGTATAGTTTATGGCCAGCCTAAGACAGGGAGAAGGAAGGGTGGCAGTCAATCAGGTTCTTATTCATTTACCCAACAAATTTCAGAGGTGAAATTGACATTTACACCTTTATAGATTCGCTATCTTCAGCCAAGTGCATTCTGTTACTTTCAATGGAGGGAGAGACTTCCATTGTTTTTTGAAGAATCGCTTGTTTTGGTTTCTATGTTTGGACAAATGAGTAATGTATGCAGGTTACAGGTGCATGTTAATTGATCCAAATTTATTAGGCAGAGAACATGCCCACCTCCGGCCTGACAGGGTCTTCTATTCCCACCACACAAATACATGTCAAGTCTCCCACTATCTCATTCTCATTTTCCCAGTTTGGCTCAGGTACTCCTTGGAAGTCTCGGTAGGCAACACAGATGGTACGCAGCCCATCACACGCCATTGGTTCGATGACCTTCTTTACCATCTCATCACGATCTCTGGGCCGAAAAGTGCGGAGGTCGCCACCAGCATTTAGGATGTTTGTACACCTGGTATAAGAAAAATAAAGTGCAAATTGACATCAATACTTCAAGAAAGTTGAATCATCTACCTGTCCATGACACAATTATTCCAGTGCTGATTTGCTACCTCCCCACAAACTGAAACCAAACCTGGTAAGGATGCAGAACCATGTAAAAATAAACGATATGCTTTAAATTTATAGACATGTGACCATCACACCTCCCTATATGACCGAATGTGTGAGGACACTTGACCATCACACCTACCTATATGACCAAATGTATGAGAGACGCCTGACCATCACACCTACTTATATGACCAAATGTATGAGGACACCTGACCATCACATCTACCTATATGATCAAATGTATGAGGACATATAACCATCACATCTACCTATATGATCAAATGTATGAGGACACCTGACCGACCATCACATCTACTTATGTAATAAAATATATGAGGACACCTGACCATCACATCTACCTATATGATCAAATATATGAGGACACTTGACTGACCATCACATCTACTTATGTAATAAAAATATATGAGGACACCTAACCATCACACCTACCTATATGATCAAATGTATGAGGACACCTGACCATCACACCTACCTATATGGCCAAATGTATGAGGACACCTGACCATCACACCTACCTATATGACCCAAATGTATGAGGGACGCCTGACCATCACACCTACTTATATGACCAAATGTATGAGGACACCTGACCGACCATCACATCTACTTATGTAATAAAATATATGAGGACACCTGACCATCACACCTACCTATATGATCAAATGTATGAGGACACCTGACCGACCATCACATCTACCTATGTGATAAAATGTATGAGAACATCTGAACATCACACCAACCTATATGATAAAATGTATGAGGACACCTAACCATCACATATACCTATAGGATCAAATGTATGAGGACACCTGACCATCACACCTACCTCTATGACCAAATGTATAAGCACACGCCACCATTACATCTACCTATAAGATAAAATGTATGAGGACACCTAACCATCACATGTACCTATAGGATCAAATGTATGAGGACACCTACCATCCACCTACCTATATGACCAAATGTATGAGGGCACCTTACCATCACATCTACCTATATGATAAAATGTATGAGGACACCTGACCATCCACCTACCTATATGACCAAATGTATGAGGACACCTGACCATCACACCTACCTCTATGACCAAATGTAAAAGCACACGCCACCATTACATCTACCTATAAGATAAAATGTATGAGGACACCTAACCATCACATCTACATATAGGATCAAATGTATGAGGACACCTGACCATCACACCTACTTATATGACCAAGGGTATGTGGAATTGGACATATAGGTGCAATGATCAGGTGTCCACAAGCTTTTGGCCATTTGGTATATAACGATCACCATTAACATGTTAGGAAAAGTAAACATATGTACATACACAAAACCCAAAAGACTTAGACCACCTAATACTGTTATTTCAACTAATGGCCTAATTCATTCACCAACTAGCTTTTTTTAGTTCCTGGTGGTGAATCTGACCTGCCATTGTTCCTGGCTGTGTTCCCAATTAGTAGTAGTTGTAGTCTTAGGCCCTTTTATGATTTGTGCACATTATAGATGCCATGCAGATCTGAGTTCAATAGTAACAAATAAAACTTGCATACAGTTTTTGAGTGGTCACCAGAACAGGAATAGAGAGAAAATCTTTCAATGTGGACACTAGTTCTGGTAACAACCAGGGATTACCTCCCTCCTATCCCTATAATAGCTATCTGTAGCATTCCAGATTGCTTTAACTAGTATTAAAGAGGTTCCAAAGTCACAGTTTTTTTTTTACCTCTATGCATTGTCCTCATTAAGGTAAAAAATGCCCCACCACTTGTCCTATACCCATCCCCCATCCCCAAAACACTTACCTGGCTTTAAGTCACTACTCCAGCACTGTCTGTATTGCAGCACCACTCTCACTTCCTAGTCCCACAGGAGACACTGAGGGCAGTGGAGTCATTGGCTCCTGCTGCTGTCAGTCAAACCCTGGTGGGAAGGGAGTGGGGGCATGGCTTACCGGGGCTGTCTGTATATGGATGCACACAGCCCAGCTTGGGAGCGTGTGCAAATGGTTGCCTCGTCGTTAGCAGCCAGCTTGCTAAGGAGGCACCTGAAGAAAGGAAAAGTTGACAGAGCCAGAGGGGGACTGCTAGAAAAGGAGGTAAGGGACCTTTCTGTGCATTATCGTTGCCCTGAGCAAGTAAGTATAACCTCCTTTTATTTTTTACCCCCAACCCCCCCCAAAAAAAGAGCTTTTAGTATCTCTTTAAATTGTATTTTTTTAATTGAGTGATAAGGGTGTTTTGCAATGAGTAAGGAGGGGCGGAAAATTGGTGCCCAAACAGCAGCTGCAATAAATCATATGCAACCACTGTTCAGGGTATGATGACAGTTGCGGGTGTCAGCTCTCAGAATACAATAGTTAGCAGTGGAGATTCGTGTGTACCACATCCAGTTGGTTCACATGGATGGGAGAATCGGTAGATTTCTTTCATTCAACCCAGTGTAGAAATCTAAGAGTTACCAAACCCTATGTGCATTCGTAACCCCTGACACTGGCGAATAAAACCCTACATGATCGTTCATAATCAGTAATGAGTTTTCTTTTGTGCTTTACCTTCAGAGGCTCGTACATCAAGAAGGAACATTATGTTCCTGCTCCTTTGTCTACACTTTTCTTTCTATGCACTTCTCATTTATTTCAATAATAAAAGTAACTTCTGGTAAAACATATTTACATTCTCTTAAAGTCAGGTTGCCATCTTTCCCCATTTTCTGGGGATGATCCCCAGTGTTTTGACTTCATACCTTTTATGTCTGCTTCTTGTTCCAAAAGTCTGAAACCAACTGTTTCAGGGTATGTTAAAAATGGGGGCATGATTTGGTGGGTGCAGCTAAAAATGAGGGAATGTTTTTTTTTAGGGGTGGTTAGTAGGGTGTCCCTGGAGTTCTTGCTGAAAATCTGGCATCCGTACCTTAATTTAGCGTAGCTTTTACCCCCACCGTTGTATTCAATACATCAGATACAGTACAGATCAATACAGTAACAATACAGTTCAATACAAGGGGGATTTGAGGGCCCTGCTCCTTGGAGCGTACAATCTAGGAGGGAGGGGTGAATGGTACAGTAGGTAGTAACTGTGGGGGATGGAGTGGTTGGAAGAGTAGAGGATTCCAGAATTAGAAGAGGGCGGGATAGTCTTCCCTGAAGAGAGAGGTTTTCAGTGATCGCCTAAAGGCAAGTAGAGTAGGTGAGAGTCTGATAGATTGGGGTAGAGAGTTCCAGAGGATGGGTGACGCCCTGGAGAAGTCTTGGAGACGAGCATGAGTGTAGGAGATAAGGGACCTAGAGAGTAAGAGGTCTTGCGAGGAGCGGAGTGTACGGTTTTGGTAATATTTAGAGATAAGATCGGTCAATTGTGATGTCAATTGGGGCAGTTGTGGATGGCTTTGTATGTCATTGTCAGTGTTTTTGAATTTTAATTTTATCCGTTGGGCAACTGGGAGCCAGTGGAGGGATTGGCAGGGAGGGGTGGCAGATACAGAACGGTTCGTGAGGTGGATGAGTCTGACAGCGGCATTCATGATAGACTGGAGGGGGGAACTTACTCTCATATGAGAGTAAGTTCAACTATTTTTACAGATAGAACTCAGAAAATAGCTATTTTTAGAAAATCCACGATGCTAGAAAATGTCATAGCTTGCATCAAAGCAATTGCTGAATAAATGTGTTCAAAAACATCAATTCCCCCTTACAGCGACATGAATGTGAAATGCAGTCCTGCATGGAAGATCACCTCTTTCATCAATGAGTTTATTTAACGTAAAAAAAAAAAAAACGTAAACGGGAGTTCTTATGTCAGACCTTATCATCGGCATCTGCTGTGCAGTATCACAATCTAATCCTGGCTACGGTAATGCTTTTTATTGCCTGATCTGCCTCTGATCACAGATCCCTCCCCAACAACACAGATCGTAGCTGGCAATATGGAGTTTCTCTATTTCGGCATAACACAATGCACACTTCGAGCCTCCCCACTGTCTTTAATTAAGCTTTCTCCATGGTTTTCAGGACTAGGAAATAAAACCATCCAGGCGTATGAAAACCCAGTATAAGAAATGGAGCTTTCTTATACGGAGCGGATGTGAGTAACATATGGTATGTGCCTATGACTGCGTTAATCCACTGGCAGCTCTTTGATTTCCTACCGTCCAATCTGTGAAGCTGAGGGAACTTTAATTTTCCGTGCCAGATACCGCAAGTATAATATACTGCTCTTCACTTGTAAGGCGCTTACAATGTCAGAGGTGTAGACTTATTTATGGCAAATTACCATGAACCAATGAATTATAAACAATCCAGGACTCAATATAACAGCTCAAGGTTGCTTCACTTGAACCAGCTCCTCTACATTGAGGATCATTAACGACTCAGCAAACCCCAACTTTTTTGTGTCATTGGGGCTGATTTACTAAGTGCAAATTGACTGTTCACTATGCAATGAAAGTTGCACTTTGCAAGGGAATTTGGGACACCTGAGCCTGGGACAGGGGCGGACTGACAACTCATGGGGCCCCCGGGCAATAGGGGATCACGGGGCCCCTGTGTCCTTGCCCAAACTCAAAAAAAACTATGAAAAAGGTATCAGGGGCATCTCATGGGGCCCCCTACTGACCCCGGGTCAGTCCGCCCCTGGCCTGGGACAATGCATACAAGTGCCTTGATTAAATTAACCTCATATAGGAAGCCCCCTTTCATATCAGAGGCCCCCAATCATGTCAGAAGTGTCATATTATGTAAGAGTCCCCCCTAGACATCAGAGGCCCCCTCATCACATCAGAGCCCCAGCTATACAGAGTAACATACATTTATGTTTTTGGTTGTAACATGACAAAATGTGTAACATTTCAAGGGGTATGAATACTTTTTCAAGGCACTGTATATTGGCCCTAGTATGTGTATGTATGAATGTGAGACCCTAGATTCTGCTCCGTGAGGGTAGGGACCAGGGGTGGACTGACAACTCATGGGGCTCCCGGGCAATAAGGGATCATGGGGCCCCTGTGTCCTTGCCCAAACTCAAAAATGCCTATGAAAAAGGAACCAGGGGCATCTCATGGGGCCCCCTACTGACCCCGGGCCCTCAGGCAGTACCCGAGTTTCCAAATGGTCAGTACACCCCTGGTAGGGACTAATGTGAATGTACAGTACGTAAAGTGCTGTGTAAATTGTTGGCACTATATCAATACCTGTAATAAATAAATCTGCAGTAAGTAGTCCTAATTGGTTTACATACACTTTAATACATTATTAAATGTATTTGTTAAATGAATGCCATGTTAGCACCTGATATTGGCCTAGTTTCGGCCTCCAGCAGGGCTGAAGCATGAGAGAAAGAAGCAGCACAAGGAACCAGATCGGTTCATGTGATGACAAAAAAACCTGATGATTGATGGACAAAGGAGAGTGACAGGACTGCACTGTTTGTTTGTCCTTTTACTGTCCAGTCACAGACTAGGGTCAGGTCTAGACACTCTGGGCTCAGAGGAAGTGGGTTGAATGATGCTGGCCATCAGAATATCTAGTTGAGGAAAAAAATACTGCAGGGGAGATCTCTGGATTGAAAGTGAATATTGCAGCAAAAGCTGGTTTTGTCAATGTATCATTTAACCTTTACGACGTACGGACCTGACAGCAGGGGGTTTTATACACGATCTGGTGGCTGCAGCCACCAACATTGTGTCTAAAATTGACAGGCTGACTCCTACCTGTCAGGTGGAAGCAGTTGGGTGCCTGCACTGCTGCCCGATTGCTTCCACAGCCCCCCCATGCCGGTGCCTCACCCCATGCTTGCACTCCTGCTATGTAACCGAGCCCCGCTTGACCATCTGCCGGCCCAGAGAGCCCCATGACGGGTGCAGGGGAGAGAGGAGAGTGGACAAGCGTCCTCCCCTTCTTTCTGTGACCCGTAAGGCGCCATGTATGACATAACGTCCGGGGTCACAGTTGTTGCCTTTCCCAGCTAAAATAGCCGGGGATTCATCCATTGCATATAAATCCACAATACATCTAGTGAAGGCCAGAGGAGATATTCAGGATCATTTAGACCCTGCATGTCTCAATAAAGAGAACCTGTCACCTAAAAATCATCACATGGGGACTTTGTGTTCCCTATGTGATGAAAAAAAAAGATAAGTAAAAAAATTTTATTGCAAAAAATAGAATTACACCCAGTATATAACATCCCCCCCAGAAAAAAAAATAATTTGTTTGAGGCCCCCCACCCCCACATGTACGCACACGAATGTAGAAGTGGCCATCTTGGTAGAGTCAAGACTTTGTTTCCTCAGGTCAGATGTTCTGATAATATTGGGTTAATGATCAAAAAAGCAGCAGAAGAAATAGAGGGAGTGCAAGTCCACAGAACTAATGAAGCAGGCAGATCCTTACACTGTTGGCCCTCAGCTACAGCTTCCTCTCCAGCAAGTAGAACAGTAAGCAGCATGTGGGTAGGTGCAGAGTGATGCTGTAGACAGAAAACACACAGAGTCCAGGTGCAATATATTAGAACAAAGTCCAGCAAAAAGAAACAGGCCCAGCAGGAAAGCAACCTGACCAAGAGCACTCACAAGTTGTAACAGCAAAATGGCAGTGGAGTGGTAGACCACCGGTGTCAAGAGCATCCGTCTTGAAGAGTGGAATGTGGCATGGCCTGTCTGCACCCAAATGCAGAGGCTTCTAGGAAGGATGGCGTGTCCCTGCACTTTCCTTACTCCACTGGAACCTTTCCCTGACTCTATACAGTGTCCCTGACAGATAGGTGACCTGTCCCTGCTCTAGCCACTGTAAGTCAAACCCGGGACACAGAAACTAGACTCAGCCTGACCCAAAATGACTGAAGTCACATGTGCTGCGAGCATCCAATCAGATAGCTGCCTCCCTGTGACCGAGGAAACTATAGAGGATAGGAACTAAATTGCTCTTGACTTACCCCTTGTGCAGTGTGGCTGCGGATGAGTGCTACCTGCAGTGGAAAAAGTTGATTGCACCTTCCTACAAGCACAGTACTGATATCAACAAATCTCTCACCAAATCCTAGAACTAGTAGTCAGAGGCAGCAGTGCCTTAGATCTCACACTGCAAATACACAGCACAGGAGTGCCTAGGCAAACTCACTCACCAGAAAACTCTCTACTATTTGTCAGCAGGAATCCAAGACAAAAGGTACATTTTTTCAGATTACTGCTTACACACAATTACCATTTCTATGTATTCCCTATAACATAGCAAACCTTCATTTTTTGAGTTCAGGTCCACTTTAACTACTCACTTTTTCAGCATGATCTCTGAAGCTCCTTTGCTGTATAGCCGGAATCCTCCATTTGGCAGGCACACGATGGTGCTCATGGACTTACGGACAGAGTTGAATGTGTACACTTTGTAGAGCGTCTCCTCAGGAATCTGGTCTCGCACCAGCTGGTAGTCCCGTTGCAAATCCAGAACAAACCCAAGCAGGGCGCACTCAGTTTTATTGCCTACTTGCTGGGGAAGCGCTCCATCTTTTTCTGGAGGCTTGAAAGGCAAAAGAGAAAGAAGCAAATATATCAATAAATCAATATCAAGGGAAAGTGTGGTTTATGTGCTTAAAAGTGCACGTTGTCCTTCTGGAAACAAATCTTCACTATACTATATATAGTCAAGCCACAGGTCTCAAATCCCAAAGATATTGGAAATTGTATGCCTCTCTGATTTCTATCCCACTAGTGCCAAAAAAGGACACTTACATTTCTTTTTATTATCTACCAGAACTGTGACACTTCGACAATGGAGATCCAACTTCTCCCCCACATTTAAAGAATGGATCATTGAAATAACTTTTGTACAATATATCTCCACTTGGAGTAATTGGATTGCTTTTATGATCTCAGTTTAATTCAAGCCTTTAGTTTAATGAAACAGTTTCATGTGCCACAAGTTGTAATAAGGGACTACCTCCCCCAGAGGACACCCCACTCCAAATCTCTTCTCATCAATTAAAGAATGGATCCAACCTCTCCTCAATTAAAGAATGGATCCAACCTCTCCTCCTCAATTAAAGAATGGATTCAACCTCTCCTTCTCAATTAAAGAATTGATGCAACCCCTTCTCCTCAATCAAGACATGGATCCAACGTCTCCTCAAATAAAGAATGGATCCAACCTCTCCTCCTCAATTAAAGACTGGATCCAACCTCTCCTCAATTAAAGAAAAAATCCAACCTCTCTTCCTCAATTAAGGAATATATTCAACCTCATCTTAATAAATAAAGAATAGATCCAACATCTTCTCCTCAATAAAGAATTGATTTAACCTCTCCTCCCTAATTAAGGAATGGACCTAACATCTCCTTCTCAATTAAAGAGTGGATCCAACCTCCACTCCTCAATCAAAGAATGGATCCAGACTCTCCCCCACAATTAAAGAATAGATCACAGAAATTTCTCATTTAAAATGTATGGAGATTTGTTATATGACAGATTTAAACATTACATTTTCACTTAGAGTAACTGGACCACTCCATTCAATTCTTCAATGCCTTTCCTTAAATAATTGCCATTTCAAATTCCATGTGCTGTGATCAGGGACTACCTTCCCCTCCTCTGGTGAACTACCTTACCCTTCCTTTTTTTTTCTCTTCCCCCACTACACTATCTTTCTATAATGTGTCTTTTACTCTACCTCTTCTTCTGGAATTTGGGATGGCCTGAACATCCATACTACCTCACTATCCCACTGTTTCGCTCAATCACCCACTTGATCACCTCCAGAATACCCCAAATCCATTCAGGGTATTACGTAGACCTTGGGTTTTGTGGCCAATAGGATAGACTGAATGCTTTGCATTTGTTGTATCACTCTGTATGTTTCAATGCCCTGTACTCTATGCTTATACCAAAATGAAATACACTTTTTTTTATAAAGGTTATGTCAAGCCAAACATGTCTTTTTAGTTTTAGATAGAGTGGGGAAAGACTAGAACCCCTTTCTGGGCATGTGCCATAATAACACATGCCGCTTCCCACTTTGGGGTTCTTTGTGGGCCCTAAATTTCCTTTCTATGTGTCTTCCAAAGTCCGGAGTTTTTTACCGCACTGCTTTTATTGCCACAGGAGGGAGGGTTACAAAAAAGGGTGCCTCAAGCGGCAATTAACTTAGGCACGCTCCTGCATGTACCACTGGTGGCTGTGCCAAAACACATTGTGCATATATGAACCAAAATTGTCTCATTCAGAAAGCTGGGACAGAGGAATGATGTGCTGGAGTGAGTCCATGCAGCCAGCAAGTAGGTGAAAGAGCCAAAAGGAGATCAGCAGCATTGTAATAGGAATTAAAAAAAAGGTCAAAAGGCATTTGGCCATGATATACATTGCACAGAGCAAACTAAATGTCACCTGTTTAGGGTTTACATTCACTCTAACCAAATCCTGTTGTTTTATGACTCACTAGTATTTTAGTGGTGTAGGCACAATTAATGGCAATGGCATTAACAAGCAGGTCCAAGGTTTTGGAATTGAGGCTGCTGGGGTCTGGCTTCTCTTTATAATGGAGATCTCCAATGTAGGACTGGACGACAGTCATCCGGTTGGTTGTCAGAGTCCCTGTTTTGTCAGAGCAGATGGCAGTGGCGTTGCCCATGGTCTCACAAGCGTCCAAGTGCCGTACAAGGTTGTTGTCCTTCATCATTTTCTACAAAATAAACAGAGATGTAAAATATCTGAACACTTAATTGGTCCTAAGAAGAACATATGGAGCAAATATAAAAAATACAACAAACTTTGAAATTGTCAATGACTCACTAGCAGGAGGATTTTACTGGATAATATGTATGATGGACATCAGTACCGTACTTGGACTGTGCAAGAGGATTATTCACATACGGTCTGGAATTCTCATTGCATGTTAAATAGCTACAGCCACCCAAACCTAATGTTTCAATACAGGATGAGCAACATAAGGTTCTCACCCTCCCCACTGGCTAAATCTTTTGAATTGCAAAAAAGCAGCAGGATAAGGATGACTGTCTTGGTAGTCTTTGTAAAGGTTTGGAGTGAGAGGGGCAATCTTATGACACAGGCCTCATGTACACTGCTGCTCCTAAATGTGAGTTTAGGAGCTTTTGGCATTGTTTTGGCAAAGCCCCTGAACTCAACTCAATAAAAGCCTATGTGTCCATGTACACATAGGCTTTTACCAGAGTTTAGGGGCAGTTAACAGTTCCTCTACTGAACGCAGAAGAATCGCGTTCAGGAGAGGAACGTTTTGCCAAAAAAAAAATGCTAAACTTTGCAAAACATGTATAAACTATTCTAAACACTAGCCGCATTTAGCTCTTGGGCATTTATTCATGTCAATGGAAAATACTCTGGTCAATCAAATGAATAAACATCGAAGAGCTAAACACGGCTAGACGTGGTACCGCGGTTACATGCATTTTTACCACGTTATCACATTTTCTGCTACCAGGAGCTAAACATCTAGGGGAGTTTGTGTGTACATGAGGCCTTAAAGTGTTACTAAACCCATGACCCTGTATTTACTATATCAGGTCTCCCACAGTACACAGAACATGGAAATGCAATTATTTTAGTAAATATAAACAGCTAAATACCTTTTCTCATCAGCAGTTAGAGCAGTCTTGTGACTTCTATCAGTGTCCAGCAGAGCACTGGTTAAAGCTTGTAGAAGGAGTCTTCATTCTGCTCTGACTGTCCTGTGAGGCTACATAACTCCTGACCCTCTGTCTGTTGATTGGCCATGTGCTGATCACATGCACCCTCCCAAAGAAAAAAAAAAACTCTCTAGCAATGTACACTAAACAGAGGATTAGCCCCCTTCCACAGTGAATATAACAAGCATTCTTGACTGCATATACAGACTGATTTTTACTGTTGTGGGTTTAGTAACACTTTAAGTGGGCCATACACTGTGAGATTTTTAGCCAGTTCCTGTGTGACTCTTTCAACCTTCTCCTGGGTCCTTATCCTTTTACTGAAAAATAAATGAACTGGGCAGAAAGTTGTCAGCTGAGCAGCAGCTTCATCCCATCTGAAGCAGCCAATGTGTGGGTATTTTGACAGCCACTGGCTACATGTCACCTCAGCTTCCCTTTGGGGCATTCTAGGAGACCTGAAATCTAATATGCTCAACTAGCCAAATTTTGGCCAGCTCCCATTGCTGAGGGCCTGTTCTTACCCTATAGGACACTGAGGATGCCACAGAAGGGCCAACAGTGTTGCACAGGAGGCCACACAGACAGTCAGCCACAGTTGATATCTGATTGTCCAAGAGTCCCCAGGAGAAGCTGAGCTTATGGTGCTGCCAGAGATGTGGTAATAGTTATATTCCCATTGAGATCACTTTAAACTGTATGCAATGTTTGAGTTCCTGGAGTTTCCCAATAATAAACAGGCTGTTTTGGAGGGTTGCATTACGGCTTGCTTACCTTGACTGAATAGGCTAGAGAGATGGTAACGGCTAAAGGCAAGCCCTCTGGCACAGCCACCACTAGGACAGTAACTCCAATGATGAAGAATTTGACAAAGTACTGCACGTAGACAGGGGTACACTCCGCTAGCCACACTTTGCCATCCACCACAAAGGTTTGAATCACAAAGTAGAGCACCAAGATGATAACTGTAATTGCCGACATCACCAGACCTGGTGGGGGGAGGGGATGGGGCATTAAGGGGAGTAGGAGAAAAGGACAAGAGCATAAGAGAAGAAGGGTGTAAGAAAGGATAAACCAGGTTAATAAGGGACAGAGAGGCAGAAAATGGTAGCAGCACATTGATTCCTGTTGCAAGTTTTATTTATCTACAGATCAGCAGGCTATCTACAGATCAGCAGCTTAAAGTGTATCTAAACCCCCAAAACAAAAATGTAATACATTGCAGCTTAAGAAAGTAGAAAAATAGCACTGGACCCATACGGTTATCTCATCAGTATTGCTGTCTTAAAGCAGGTCCTCACCTCCCCACCTCTTTTTTTTTTTAACCCTTGCTTACCTTGTGGCAGGTTCTCATACTCACCCACCCAGCAGATCAAGCAATGTCCTGCCGAGACCCTCTTCTCAGCAGCCACCACTTGGGTCTTGTGCCACCATGTTTGTGCGTGACATCAATGAGAAGTCTGCCAGCTCTTATGGGTTCAGCTAGTGAGCCTCCCGATGATGCGCCACTATTCCAGCCCCCCTGCTCCTCTGCAAGGAGCCTCCTGGAAAATGTGACATACCTATCCCAGAAAGCATTGTGGGCACAGTACACATCATTCACCCATTGGAATTGGGACCAAACCCTTTTTAAGAGAAAAAAAGGTTAAACAAAGAAAAGCCAATATTTAGGAAGTGGAGCAGAGGAGGGGTGGACAGGAGGGACTTTTAATTTAGGGGTGAAGATCCGCTTTAAAGTATTGATGTTGATGTAAATGATCTGGTTCCAGGGCAGGCAGCTTCTACACCAGGATCTCCATGGTCACCTTGGCTTACAGTGTGATGTAATAGAAATTGAAGAGCCACATTTTTGCTAACAGGTCCAGACACAACTTTATTCTGACAAAAGTCAGGGGGACAATCCAAAATGTAGCAAATGCATTTCGGGGGTCCAAGAGCACCCCTTCATCACAGCTTGATTGACAACAATGTGAATAAACTAGAAGTGAACTGGACCTTTTATTTTTTCCAGTGTGATTACAAGCAGAGGTGTTTGAGCAGCTGGTTTGGCAGCTTCTGTACTTGCATAAAGAAAACTAATGAAGCCACCACATCTAAGAGTTGGTAAGCTGCAATGTGTTAAAATTTTGTTCCTGGGTTTAGATATACTTTAGGCTGTCCACCAAATAGCATGCTTGTAATTTCAGAACAGCTATGGCTGTTTGAGGTGGATAATGTAGAACAGTTTACAATGTTTAGCTAAATATCAATCAATCATGAAAAGACGCAGCAGAATGCTGACTAAATTTGATCGTATTGCTACAATAAATGATCAGAGTGCAGAGGCAGCAAAAGCGATGATTCAGTAGCTTAAGTGAGTGACCCCGTGGCGACAACTCGCCAGTAACAGTATTGCTAGAAGACCGCTCACCTGTTTCTATGGAACAATTCCATAAAGATGAGTATAAGACTCCCCGAAGCAATTCTGCTGCTAGCAATGTGTCAACAGTAGCAGAATGGCCGTTTTGACACAGCCCTTATCCTCCTGAAGGGTAATCAGTTAGTCAACTGCCCTTCTGAAAGCTATAGTGAAATCTGTGATACTATAGCTATGGAGGCACTATGTACAGTACCCATGCATCGTTCTATTGTGTAAGTATATGCAGCACTTATCCCTTCAGTGCTGTTCCATATTTGCAAAAGTTGATGCCAGGGTCCTAGAGGAAACATTAAAGCTGCACTCTGTGCAAAAAAAAACAGTTGCCGTGTCACTTGGATAAACAGGCTGCAACAGAGCTGCTAGTACTAGTACCTGTACCATAGATACAGGTTAAATACCAACATTAGCCACAGCTCTGCAAGACAGCAAAGATTGGAGTAGTTACCCACCAGACAGGTAGGAAATAATGAAGGGTAGGGGCACAGGAGTGCTCAATGTAGTTTTCTAAATTGGCCATTGGGTGTCACCATAATTATGGTCAGGAACCGCTGTAGTGTGAATAGGCAGTGTAGTTGCCTAGGTAGCCGCTAGAGGTCCCCAGAGTAGTAAGTGGGGTGTTACCATAGATGGGTGAGGTCTTACCAACCCTGCCCCTGCCAGTGTGGGGCTTCTTGAAAAAGAGGGTTAATTGGCCACTAGGTGTTGCCATGGTTGGGGAACTGCATTAGGCACATTTGTGTCCCTACCCTATAATCAAAATCTTGTTTTACAGGATGCATCCCTTATAAACAGGTCGTTTATCCAGAAGAGTGGAGGATGTTTTATGGTAGAAGAGTGGAAGTTGGTTTATGCTAGAAGAGTAGAGTCTGTTTTATGTCAGAGGACTGGAGGCTGTTTTTTACCAGGAGAATGGAGTTCGTTTTATGCTAGAAGAGTGGAGGTGGTTTTATGCTAGAAGAGCGGAGGCTCTTTTTATACCAGAAGTGTGGAGTCTGTTTTATGCCAGAAGAGTGAAGGCTTTTCTAACTGCAAGGGTTTTAGAAAGAGATGCCTATAAGCACGTAGGTATGATGGTTAGGTGTCCACAAATGGTTGGTCATATAGTATATGTGGTTAACATATCTATCAGATTTCAATGGCTGTATTAGTGGCTTTACGCAAATCGGTTTTAGGCATTGTCAACCAGCTTTTGGTTACAAAACCAAGTGCACCAAGACAAAATGATCACTACCATATTACATAGTTTCACAGCTTCGATTACAAATTGTTGGTGAATATGGAGGATTGGCAGTTCCAGACTTATGCAAATATTACAAGCAGCCCATCTTGGGAGACTGATAGACTGGTGCCGCCATGGTGACATTAAAATATGGCTCAACATTGAGCAGGCTCAAACTCGAGTTTCCCTCAGTAGAGCCCCATGGTGCTCCCAAGTTCAAACCGTGCCTCCTTCACGGTCCATTTACGTCCCTTTACCGCTTAGGATTTTTTTTCAGATCTCTCACTTCCTAGTTAACAGAGCCTGGCCCTCTATACCACTTCTTTGTGACCCTACGGACCCTTACAACCTGGATTTTTGGAAGGCCCTTCAAATGCGACACTTCTTGAGCTTGCTTCCCTCCCCCTCTAACTTCAGATGTCTGCTTACCACACTAGAGGAATACTGCTCTGTTGAGGGCGCTAATCCTCATGCCTTATCTAAAATATATAATCTACTCATAACACCACCTGAAGATTTTTCCTCTACTTGCTTCTTGAAGTGGGAATTAGACCTCAGGAGAACCTTCTCGGAGACCCAAAAATCTAACATACTTCTTTTCTCACTGAAATCGTCTTCATGTACGAAAATGCAAGAGAACAACTTTAAGATATTGTCCCGCTGGTATAGAACCCCTGTGTTGTTACATAAGCTCTCTTCCACTAACTCCAGTCTCTGCTGGAGATGTCAGGAGGCAGATGGAACACTCCTTCATATGTTCTGGTCATGCCCTCCCTACTGGGGAGGGGTTGGCCGTATCATCCAAAAATTCACGGATTACTCTGTGCCTATAGACCAGGCATTTTTTCTTCTACATGTCACCAATATGCCATCCAGAACTTATAAGCGGTCAGTTGTACACCACCTGCTGAATGCAGCTAAATCCTGTATCTCTTTATGCTGGTGAAAGACAAAACCTCCATCGATTGGACTTTGGTTACGTAAAGTGGAGGAAATGAACCACATGGAAGATCTGCTGCTTACTCACAGACAAAAACTTGCAGTATATTTTAAAACTTGGACTCTATGGAACTTGTTTATCTACTCGGATGAAGGGAAGTCTCTCCTTGATGCGGGGGAGGAGTAACCATCTTCTACCTGGCATTTAGTGGTTTCCCCATCCCCCTTCCCCCCCCCCTTTTTTTCTCTCCCCCCCCCCCCCCCCCTTTATTGTGCCTTACTGTATTGCTCTTTCTTTTCTTGACTCTCTATTCTCAACCTTTCTACTTTCTATATCTTATATATATATATATATATATATAATAAATATAACTGGTAACGGTGAGGTGGATTTTTTATGAGTACTGGTTTACGCATTTGGAACCAGAACATATTTTTCTGTACTCTCTTGAATACAGTACATAATTGACCTGCTGATTATGTCGTTTTAATATTTTTTATATTGATTGTACTTATACATTCGGGCTACTTGCCACCTGCTGTTCAGTTGTTATAAGTAAAGAATTTGAAAAAAAAAAAACTGTTGCTGAAAGGTTCCAGTGATCTATTCCATTGTTCTGGAGATTGACAGGTTGTTGGAAGTGGTCAAAATTGCCTAGAAACAGCGTGTTATGGTCAGCACATCAGTGTATATGCTGTAGAGTTAAGGCATGTGTTTTTTGAAGGCTCCAAAAGCTACATATTTTGCTATGGAGCCTCTCACATATAGTTACAGCCCTTCTAAGGTACCAGTCCACTTTCAGCAATATCCATTATCAATCTTAGGACAATCCTGGGCATGCTGGTGTTGATCATGCATCACGAGCACACCAAGGTGAATCAAAGTCATAGTTTTCTTGATAAAGGGGTCCCTCTAAGGCATGAAACATCGCAATTTGCCAAGAATAAATTTTACTACAGTGTGCTGACGAGGCTTGCATATTCATGAAGCCTATGGGTGACAGTGCCATCCATTGATTCACCATCTAAGCACTTGCTGTATATGGAAGTCCAATTTTAAGGTTGACAAATATGTCTCCTCCTTGAGTACATTGTGTTTTGTTTTCATACATTTAAAGTAATGTATTTCATAAAATATGTTTGTAGACAAAAAATACTTTTTGGAGGAAAAATTGCAACAGTGAATCTACATTAGCTTGAGCATGAAAAAGCATTCTTGTTAGACTTACAGGGGAAAGAAATTAAGCTTTGAACTAGAGAAAAAAAGATAATTTTCATTCTGCAGTATCTACATTTTTTTCATCCTGTTTCCAGGATATGAGGAAAACATGTTAGTCATATTAAATTTAGATGACACAGAGATGATATTTTCAAGATCAGAATGGCTTTAGACTAAAGACAAATGAAAGATCAGTTGATAGATAACTATTACTTCTGTGGAGAGCCTATCCCTCAAAAGGGGCTTTGTGTGGAGCCTATCCCTCAAAGGGGGTATTGTGTGAAGTCTATTTTTCAAAGTGGGCCTTATGTGGAGTCTATTCCTCAAAGGGGGACCTTATGTAGCTGATATCACTCAAAGAGGGTCTTGTATGGGGCCTATACCTCAAACGGGCCTTGTGTGGGTCCTATTTCTCAAAGGGCCTTTTGTGGAGCCTATTTCTCAAAGAGGGTCTTGTGTGGAGCCCATCTCTCAAAGGGGTTCTTGTCTGGAGCCTATCCATTCAAGGGGATCTTGTGTGAAGCCTGTCCCTCAAAGGGTTATATTGGGCAGACTCTTCAAAGGAGACCTTGTGTGGAGAACGTATCATTCAAAGGGGGTCCTGTGTGGAGCTTATCCCTCAAATGGAGCTGTGTCACAGGTATAAAAAGGCAACCATGTTGTCCATAGCAATCAAAGTTCTAGTTTCCATTCTCCAACCTCTGAAGAATAAATCAGAGCTGGAAAGTCACTTTGCTTTCAGACATATTTATTATGGGGTCTATTTATAAAGCAGGGAATGTGACTTTCACCAAACATTCTCTAGTGAACCATCAATCACTGTCATTTAAAACACATGGGCTTGGAAAATTTACCTATAGTGTTAAACTCAAGTATATCTAAAGTCAGAACGTGTTTTTTCACTTTGCATAGAGACGAGATTGGGTAAAAGCTTTGTCTTTTTTTGCCATAAAGGTACATACAGCAGGAAATGAGATGAAATCTTCAAAGTCAGGGAATTCTCCTCTTGGACAGTTATCATTGAAACAAATGTCGCCACTGGAAGATTTCCCTTTACCACCTGTTCTGGCGATAAATCAAAATTTTGGACTTTCCATCACTTTCAGTCCTCTGTCAATGGTCACCACGTTACATAAAGAGAGTAATTCTCACTAATAGGGACACGGACATAGAAACCCAACACTGTATACAAAAATGAAAAGTTTTGGCTTTAGATACACAACTCAACAAGGCTCTACCACCTCTACTAACAAGAATATTTATTCTTTTCGAAATTTTGTAATTGCTATAATCAACAATATGACTTTAAGGATAATTATAGCTGCCATTACTATATAGGAATGAGGCTCTAGGAGGCTGCCACCTATATATCTGTACACATTGCATTTACCATAGTTGATGATGTGCTCATTTTACCTGCTTTTCCTATCTGTACCGCCAGTTTGGTAAGTTTCCCTTGTAACACGGACTTCTCCTTTTTTGGAATGCTGGTCTTTTTCTTCTCTCTCTCCTCCATTTCCCCACCTTCTGCGCTCTTCAGTGGCTGCATCTCCATGGCAACCGCTCCATCCTGCTTTTTAGCTATAGGGGAACCACAAAATATTATTTTAAACTACAAGCCCAGGGAACAGTAGAGCAAATTCCATTGACTCCACACATACCCTAACATAATTAGGGTAAAATTGAATCTCACTCGTGTGGGAGAATGTGACACCAATGAATATTGGTGCAGGAACCTGTGATTCATCACTGATGATTGACTCATGCCCAATAAACATACATTAGTGTAGCACTGAGGTTGGGAGGTCAAAATAACATGAGTGATGCCTATATTTATCAAAATATATAAAATAGGAAGAGTCTGTGTTCAAACATGTCTTGGATGAAAGCCAGAGTCTGGTCTGTGGTTAGAAAACAACAAAGACACTTCTTATTTTAAATTTTATTAATAAAGCTCAATGGCTTTAATTATCTCCAGGAAGGAGAAATAATCCCTTGCAGTAGGCCATTTTAGCATGGCAACTAAGCAATAAGCAAAAGAAGATTAGCAATGGCCTCAGAAGTCAAACATTGTGGGCTATCATTGGGGCCCATTGCAACAGCTAGGATCACAAGGTGAACATGGGCAAAACTGCTTGCTGGCTTTGGAAAGAATATGTTTGCTTCATGTGGTTCAGTTCCTAGTATATGTTAAAAAATGGGCTTTGCACTGATAATGTCATGAATTTGCCTTCTCCAAAGCAAGTCTACAAGATGATTATTGGCCAATGCATTGTGTACTGGAACTCCCAACTGAGCTTAGGTTCAAAACTCATTGCTGTCGCCAGAAAGACTGGATAAAGTATCCATCCTGCAATGCACTCACCAGGACTAGAGAGCCTTGTCTGGCCTTGCCTAACTTTCAGCAAACAAATGAAACAAGTTGATGGTGTCACGTGCATAAGATTTGGAGGTTTATTTAAAGACCAAAAGGCACTCAGAAGCACTGATGCTTTTCACATAATAAAAGCTTAATTATAAGCTCCAAAGAGACCCTGTCACCAAATTAAACAATGCAGGGAAAACACAAAAAAATCAAGTATTTAAATGCTTACTTGCAGCATTTTTCCTTTCCATAAACTATTTTTACTTTGTGTACAATGTGCCTTTGAACTTGCTAGGGAGTTTTTCCACTCCAGGAAGTTGATTCCCTAGCACAGTCACAGATCCACCTTCCTTTTTGTATGTCATATTCCTCTCCTCCTTCTGGGAGGGTCTAACTTTCTCTGTGTTGGACCAGCTCCTCTGACCCTTCTCATGACTACATAACCTGGTAGCTGATAAAGGAGGAATGAAAAGGAATATGAAAGAGCAGGTATTCTCAACCAAGGTTCCTCCAGAGGTTGCTAGCGGTTCTTTGGGCTGCAGCTGATTGATCTTCCATCTGATGGTGCCTAGATAGCTTTGGGTCCAACACCACTTGGCATAACACCTCTGATCTACTTATCTGTGTGGAAGGGTGGCATTCCAATCAGCACTGTAAGGGTGGCATTGCTGCCACTTACATGCAATGACTTTAGCAGGGGTTCTCTGAGACTTGGGAAATATTTCAAGGGTTTCTCTGGGGTAAAAAGGTTGAGGAAGGGTGTTATACATTATCATTTCAGTGACAGCTCTGAGTCTTCTGGGGCTGCTGACATCATATCCAAGATAGCGGCATCCAGCAGCAATCTTAGGATGCCTACACAAGGGGTTCTTTTACAGGTAAAAATCATGCCTAAAACACATTAAATGCACATATACAATTATGGGAACATTGTTGTGAAATTAATTCTCTGGGGATAGGGTATCTTTAAGCACCTAAGGTCTTTTGATTAAGCACTTGTGCAAAACAAGCCAAGGCAGCTTGTTAGTGCCTTTTACTTTGTGAATGAACCTGCTGATCTTCTGTGACACCATTGATTTGTTAGGCCTGTGACACCATGGACTTGTTGGGTCTGTGACACCATGGATTTGTTGGGTCTGCATGGAAGTTGAGCTTTGCTTAAATCTATACAATTGTTTGTTATACCTGGCTTGGATATACTATACTCATCCACACTGTCTCTGTATTGTTTATAGATCAGCCACATCTTCAAGGATCAGTAGATAAGTGTTCTGTTGTATATTGATCTACTAAATATTTGTGTTTGTCTTTAGAAGAACTAAGGAAAACATTTAGGGTCCATTTACACCAGCCGACACCAATTGGCATGCGATGCAGTCCAGAGGGATCACCACACTGTACTGCACTGTTCCCTTTTTTTTAAATAGAACTTTATCAAAATATCACACAGACATTTCATAAAGTTCAACTGGCAGCCAAACGGTGCTAGTCACTGCCTTGTCTTATGGTGTGCTGAAAAAAAAGTAGTGGATGCACTACTCATCGTGCCTGTATACCACTGCAACACAGTTCTGTGAACCGGACACACAAGGATTTTTCCTTGTCATGCAATAGGTTTGCGTTGGAATAACCACCCAGTGCTGTCCCAATGCATCTGGTGTAAATGGACCCTTAACAGAAAATTCTGTGTGCGAGCAAAGGTATAATGCATGGAGACCATGTGTTGCTGATGGATGTCCAACAAAGCTTTCCACGCTAACCCTTGTCTGTCATCATAAAAAAGTGGCTTGGAGGGTAAGAGCAACCACAAAGGTGCTATATTGCTGGACACCTGGGCACCAGAAAAGGTAAGGGGAACAAAGAACAAGACATCACAGGACATAACAGACCGAGAAACAAGATGGAGAAAGCACTTCAGCTGCATGGTAACATAGAGGCATATACGCAGACAGGAAAACACTGAAAGAGTAGGATCCATAACACATAAATATTGTTCTACTCAAAAAAGAATAAAATTCATCAATGTGATATAATTGGGCAGCACAGTGCAATAGAGTCTCAGTTCAAATCTCAACCAGGAGTTTGCATGTTCTCCCTGTGCTTCAGTGGGTTTCCCCTGGGTACTTCCACATTCCAAAGACAATTGGCTTCCATCTAAACTGACCCTAGTATGTGTATTTATGCAAGTGGTGGTCTTAAATTGTACGCTTAAGACTTATGTGAATGTACAGTATGTAACGTATTGCGTAAATTGTCAGCGCCTATAAATACCTGTCATAAATACATTTATTAAAAGAGCAAAAAAAAACAAAAAATGTTGACCTAAATGACTCTGGTTACGGCAATCTAAACAACCCCCCTGTTGTTGATCATTAATCTATTTCTTTTTCTTTTTCCTGTTAAATTTGAACCTTTCCCTTCTTACTGCATGATTCAAAAAAAGAAAAATACAATAATTTCATGGTCTTTAAGAAAGTGTTTTTCTTCCTTTTTCATGTCTTCATTCCCTGCCTTCTGTCCCTGAAGAAATATCTGCACTCACAAAGCCTTTTCATCCTGAATTCTCTTTCATGTTGGAAAACAGTATCTGTTATTGTCTTCATGTTGCATCTAGGATAAGTGCACCCATAACACATTTTTCTAATTAGATATTCCCCAAGGAAAGTAGAATGACCTGCCTTGAAAAAAATATCCATCAACGATGTTGACACATGTCCACAATAGGAAAACAGTTGGTTGAGTTGTTTGACAATGCAAATAAGTATTTACTTTCCAATTTAAAAAACACATCATAAGGAAAATGGCTGAGCTTAGTTCTACCAATTCAGTAACATAGTTACCTCGTAATTAGTCCCAAAATGCTGGTTTGTTTACTTTTAATGCAACAGAGAGTTGTACCGTACCACCATCAACAAAAGTAGAAGTTTGGATTTAGGGTGATAGCATTTAATGGCTAACTAAAAAAAATTGTAGATCAAGCTTTCGAGGCTCGCTGGCCTTTTCTCCAGGATATTGCACAAAGAAAAGGCCAGCATGCCTTGAATGCTTGCACTACAATTTTTTTATTTAGCCATTAAATGGTATCATCCTAAATTATTTGGCCCAAAATATTCTTCAAGTTCAGTCCTCAAAAAGCACAAAACTCTCACACCACAAAGACAATCCCAACATTTTAGCGTAAACCAGGCTTTCTCAACTTTTTAGTCCCGGGAAATAATTTGCAGGTTTTAGAAAACCCCTGTTAAAAAAATCACTGGACTTCAGTGGAAAAAAATTCTCATACATTGGAGGTCAGTGATAAGAAAGCCCCCCCTTACAGTGGTGGTCAGAATACCACCATTACGGACAGCTAAAAAAAACCATTGGTGTCCTGCAGTTGGCTCTGCCAAGAAGCCTTGGGTTGGGAACTATTTGGACACCATCAAATTGGAGGTAAATCAGCCACAGCTCAAGGAACCCATAGCAACCTCTGGAGAAACCTTGGGGTTCCACGGAACCCTGGTTGAAAACAGCTAGAGTAAACTGGTCAATATCAGTTATACTGAGCCCAGAATTCTCAGGTTGCAACACGATAGTGAAAAAAAAAGAAAGTCCAAAAATATTATTATCAGAATGGGGAATTTAGCTTCTTTGTGATGAATTATCATTTGTTATAAGCCCACCTGAGACAACTCTCCATAATCTAATTTCAGCATTTTTAAAGTGAATGGGCAAAAAATGAAGAACCTGAATATTAATGCCTCAAACTCATGCATAGGCCCTCTTTTAGATGAACACCAGGGGCCCACATTTCTATGATACCCAAGCCGAACTCAGATGACACGCAATGGTCCAATTATAGACCAATCTCCCTTCTTAACGTAGATGTTAAACTCCTAGCTAAAATTCTATCCACTCGCCTCAATACATGTATTGGATCCCTAATCCACAATGATCAGGTCGGCTTCATACCAACCCGACAAGCGGGGGACAACGTCAGACGTGCATCCCTTTTAGCACACTTAGCCAAAACTCGCAATATTCCTGCTTGCTTCTTGTCGTTGGACATACGGAAAGCGTTCGACACTGTCTCGTGGCCATACCTACACTATATATTGCGCTGATGGGGTTTTGGCCCGCATTTCTTAACCTGGATCTTTTCTCTCTACCAGGGCCCTTCGGCCAGGATCAAATACTTAGGGCATCGATCTGCTCATTTCCCAATTATGCGTGGCAC